AGTAACAATACTAAACAAGAGTAATAACTATATACTAAACAAGAGTAATAACTATATACTAAGCAAGAGTAAAACTATACAATAAAACAAGAGTAATAACTATATACTAAACAAGAGTAATAACTATACAATACTAAACAAGAGTAATAACTATACAGTAACAAGAGTAGTAACTAAACAAGAGTAATAACAATAATAAAACAAACAAGAGTAAACTATACAATACTAAACAAGAGTAATAACTATACAGTAATAACTAAACAAGAGTAATAACTATATACTAAACAAGAGTAGTAACTATACAGTACTAAACAAGAGTAATAACTATATACTAAACAAGAGTAGTAACTATATACTAAACAAGAGTAATAACTATACAGTACTAAACAAGAGTAATAACTATATACTAAACAAGAGTAACTAATAATAAAACAAGAGTAGTAACTATACAATACTAAACAAGAGTAATAACTATACAGTACTAAACAAGAGTAATAACTATATACTAAACAAGAGTAGTAACTATACAAAGAGTAATACTAAACAAGAGTAAACAAGAGAATAACTATACAGTACTAAACAAGAGTAATAACTATATACTAAAACAAGAGAGTAGTAACTATACAATACTAAACAAGAGTAATAACTATACAGTACTAAACAAGAGTAATAACTATATACTAAACAAGAGTAGTAACTATACAATACTAAACAAGAGTAATAACTATACAGTACTAAACAAGAGTAATAACTATACAGTACTAAACAAGAGTAATAACTATATACTAAACAAGAGTAGTAACTATACAATACTAAACAAGAGTAATAACTATACAGTACTAAACAAGAGTAATAACTATATACTAAACAAGAGTAGTAACTATACAATACTAAACAAGAGTAATAACTATACAGTACTAAACAAAGAGTAATAACTATACAGTACTAAACAAGAGTAATAACTATATACTAAACAAGAGTAGTAACTATACAATACTAAACAAGAGTAATAACTATACAGTACTAAACAAGAGTAATAACTATACAGTACTAAACAAGAGTAATAACTATATACTAAACAAGAGTAGTAACTATACAATACTAAACAAGAGTAATAACTATACAGTACTAAACAAGAGTAATAACTATATACTAAACAAGAGTAGTAATAATATACAATACTAAACAAGAGTAATAACTATACAGTACTAAACAAGAGTAATAACTATATACTAAACAAGAGTAGTAACTATACAATACTAAACAAGAGTAGTAACTATACAATACTAAACAAGAGTAATAACTATACAGTACTAAACAAGAGTAATAACTATATACTAAACAAGAGTAGTAACTATACAGTACTAAACAAGAGTAATAACTATATACTAAACAAGAGTAGTAACTATACAATACTAAACAAGAGTAATAACTATATACTAAACAAGAGTAGTAACTATACAGTACTAAACAAGAGTAATAACTATATACTAAACAAGAGTAGTAACTATACAGTACTAAACAAGAGTAATAACTATATACTAAACAAGAGTAGTAACTATACAGTACTAAACAAGAGTAATAACTATACTAAACAAGAGTAGTAACTATACAGTACTAAACAAGAGTACTAGTAACTATACAGTACTAAACAAGAACCGTACTTTGCATAGGGCTACATTACTTTGAAACATCAGTTCCTGTACGATCACCAAAGCCTAGTCAATACTTAGATGGCTGACCACTTTGTAATACCAAGTGCTGTAAGCTTGGATGTGCAGGTGGTACAATGGATAATGGCTTTGGAATTGTTAATCAGAGAGCAGAGTTCCCATTCCTGTTGGGTTCGTTATATTCACTTATGTGGCAATACCTTTGAGAAAGGTATGAATCCACCTCTTCTCTCCCCAGCTATGGGTTAATTAGTAAGATTTGTATCACTAAGCCATTATTATCTCTAAAAAAAAATTCTTACAATTTCAAAAAATATTTCCTGGGTTTAAATAACCTGTAATGTGTTGATGAGCTGTAGAAAATGAATGAATCAATCAAAGAACCATGCTCATTGCAGTGGAAGGTGGGGTCTGGAGGAAGAGATGGAAACAATTTAGTCATGCTGGAACTTGCATTTGACACAGAAATGTACCTGCTAAAATTAAGAAGGTTTAATTGGGATTAAGATAAGCAGGACAGTGAATAGCTCACCTATACAAATAAACTTATAATTCATGACATGTAAAAAAAAAAAAAAGGAATAAGGCAGTACATAACATTTTAAAATTCCTCTGAGAAAATAAAAATACCTTTGCTTGGTTAAATTGTAATTTACTTGTCAGTAGCTGTTATTTAAAAATTTATTTACTTTTTATCAGTCTGTTTGTGGTGAATGAACTCAAGGGTCAAGGGCTTACGACCATAGCATGTTGAAACACTAGTTCCCATATGATCATCGGAGTTAAACAATGTCAAGCCTGGTCTTACCTAGATGGGTGACTGCTTGGGATTACTATTAGATTTCTTTTATGTGCTGTGTCCCTTCAGGATGTAGGTGATCATGGCCTTCCACATCTTCCTGTCTCTTGTAGCTCTTAATATATTTGTCTTTTCATTATTTCTCACAAACCCTGTCCTAACATCCATTTACTCATGCTCATCAAGTATGTTATGTACTGCTTTCCCTCAATCTGCCCTGTGAGTATCAGATTTTCCAAGCCTTCCTTCCTCATTACATGCCCCAGAAATTTCAACTGCCTCTTCCTGATGTTAAGTATAAGTTTCTTTTTTGTTTCCATTTTCTCCAAAACCTTGTTGTTGGTCACATGTTCGGTCCACGGTATCCTCAGCATTTTTCAGTAGAACCACATTTCTGTTGCTTCAAGTCTCTTCTTCATCTTTGAGGAGGTTGACTAGCATTCACTGCCATACAGGAGGATAGATATCATATAACAGTCCAGACTCCGGAATGATAATATTAGCCATTTTCTTATAAGGAAACATTCGGCATTTATTGACCGAGCAGCCAGTGCTGCCGTCAGTTGAAATTTACATAAATAATGTAAATAAAAAAATCTTTATGAATTGTTATCAAACTGCGGAAAATGAAACTGTGCAACTACAGGGTACCCCCCCACCACCAAAAAAAAAAAGCTAGAAATTTGGTGCAGTTTATTTAATTGTTGGATTTTTTGTTACAGTTATTTAAAACAAAGGCAAAAAATGGAAATTTAGAATTACTTGCATTATTTACGTTATTCAGACTGTTATCCTCATTTTCATTGCCATATTCATGTTACCAGGAAATTTGTTCCGGCTTTCCCACATCAAAGGGAAGAGGTTAAAATTGGGTTGAGGTTTAAAAAATTGTGACAAAACGCGAGTAAAAAACAGCAAGATTAGAGTGGACAAACTCTCTCTTTTAGGCGCGTACAAATAAAGAAAAAATTCCTGCTCAGTGAGTAACAATAATAAAAGAAAAAAGTGTTTGCTTACAACATATACAGAAAAAAAAAGGATATAAAGACTATTAATAGAAAAGAGAAAAATGTTCTTAACTTAAAAAAGGCTTGCTCAAAATATTTCTCTGAACGGCTAAAGAGTTCTTTAAGCGATTAGAATTTTGTTAAGGTTCTGGTAGAAACACTCACAGTTCTTGTAGAGTTGGAAATTGTTGGTAGATAGAGGAATCTTGCAGTTGAGAGAGTTTGTAGGTTGACGACAAAAATCCAGTGGGCTCGTCAGAAGGAGTGGTGATGGAATGCAGCTTTGAATTGGTCTTGAATTGTGGACCGACAGTCGTTCTTGACAGCCCTTTAGTAGGTAGTTCTTCTTGGAAAGAATAATGGTGGTGGAAATCTTTTTTATATTTTCCAGCTCTCTCGTTAGTCAGAAAATATATTCTTACTTCTGATAAGAATCGAGGCTTTGGGAGCTGGTTTTGAAAGTAAAAAGAGGTTGGAGTGAGGATAGAAAAAATAGCGAGAATGTGAACTTGTAAAATATTGTTTTCAAATTAAATTCTAACAACGTTTCGGCCATTGCACGCTCTGGCGTTTTTCAGGTGATTGGAATTTCAAACTGAAACCCTGGTCATGTGTCCTTGACACATGGTCAAGTGGATAAAGACATTGGTTAGATCCAGTGACTAAACCCAAAGAACTGTGAATTCAATACAAGGCTATAACAGTGGTGAACCAAAACTTGGAAAGTTGAATTAAATGGAAATAACTGAGGCATGGCATGTAGAACTAGAACAATCTACCGTGGTGGACGAGATAAGGGGTTCAGTTCGAAATTCCAATCACCTGAAGAAGGCTGGAGCATACAAAAACTGGAATGTTGTGGATATGCTAATGAAGATGAGGATAACAGTTCAACTAAATGTAAATAATGCAAGTAGTAATCATAATAGCTCATCTCAGAGATATAGACAGGAATTTAGAAGCTTAAAATGAAAAAAACAGAAAAAACGAAAAAAGCAAATGTTAGATGTGGTGTTCAAACGAAAAAAAATTTTTCTGTTAATTTTTTTTATAGCAAATCTAAGATTTTCTGTTTTTTGTGCAGCACACTGTGTAACTTTTTTTTTTCTTAAAAAAAGTAAGGTGGTGTTACTGTTAGTTCACGCAATAACAGAATAAGTTGACACAGTGGGCAAACAAAATTTAACAATGTGATATTTTTCAACAAAAAAAAAAAAACTGCTCTCAAACGTTTTTTTATATATATATATATATATATATTATTATTATTAACGATAAGTATTTACCAAATTCTTTAGATTCGTAAATTTGGACTCTTGGAAATGTTTTTTTTTTTTTAATAATCAGAACAATTGAACAGATCACGTCTTTTTTGCCCACTAAATGTAACAAGGTTCTCTGCTCAATGTTCACCGTTGCTGTTGTGTTTCTTGCCGTACAATATGGCGGGAAATTACTACGATTGACAATAAACAAACCGTTTGTACTCTTTTCTTTTTTTAAAAATACAAGCTGATAATAATGACAACTTTAAAGGTGTTGTCTTCGGACACGATACGATTGATTGGTAGCACCCAGGTGATTACCTCTGTTAGCAGTGTCGTCAAGGAATTGATTGAAAATTCTTTAGATGCTGGTGCTACGAGTATTGACATCAAGTTGGTTTGTAATCAAAACTTTTGTTGTTTTTTTTTTTATGAAAGAAAGATTTAAATTAAGTTTTTAAAGTTTATTTTATTTAAAATTCATCGCGTTGGATATTTTATTTTTTCTTTGTTTTAAATTTAAAGGTTTACCTTACATTTCATTTAAGGATTCCAAAAACAAAACAATTATTATATTATTTTTTTCTTTTCTTTCACGCTATTTGTACGAAAACCTTGTAAGTAAAAAGAATTAATCTGTTTTTTAATCTCATTTCAAAAAGAAGACTAATTCATCTTTTTTTTTCGTTTCATTTTGAAAGGTGTTAAAAAATTGATAAAATTTTAGAGCGCTTTTAAAATTCATGGTCATCAAACGAGCGAGAGGTAAATTGAGTTTTTGAATCTTTTTTAGTTAAACAAAAAAGAAAGCCTTAAAAAATACAGTCTGAGTAAAAAAAAAATTAATAAATGACCACCCTCTTGTGAAGGACACAGTTTTAATTTTTAAAAAACAAAATATTTTAATTTTTGTTAGTAATTTCATTATATTTCTCATTATAAACGTTATTTTTAAATGGGTCGTCGTACACGTGTTTAAGTTAAAACACCCCTGTTATTTTTTAAGCACCGTTTTGAAATTAATTACATAATGAATGCCAAACGGCTTCAATCGAAAAATCATACTAAAGAAAATATACCTCCTGACAGGAATCGAACCTCTATTGCTTTCTGGGAAATCACTCATTTTTAGCTGAAGTTCCCCTCACACATATTGTATTATTTTTTTTAATTTAATTTTTTTTAATTTATTTTTTTTTTATTATTCAGAGATAGGTTACAGGTAGTTTGTTTAAAGTTTAAACAATCTCGTAATAAATAAAACTTAAAAACATGTGAAATATCAGTTGCTTTATTTACGAAGTTCATAGAGAAAAATGAAGATGCGTTGATTTGTCTTTTAAATTTTGAAACCTATCACTTAGATTTTTTTTGATTTTTTTTTTTTTTTTTTTTTTTATGACCTGTTGTTTGGAGAAGGAATTTAAAAAAAAAAAAACTGATTGATTGACACAGGAAAATTAATTTAAGTATCAGAACAAAACGGATTTTTACTGAATTAATAAAAATAAAAAATGAAGCCAGTTTTATTAATTGTTTGCATTTCTTATTTGATGAAGTCACTGAAGGAAAACTAAAAAGAGTAAAGAAAGAAAGACTTTTCCTTCATTAATTATAATTAATTTATGGAAACTTCCTAATTGAAATTTCTCCCGCCACTCAGGTTGAACCTGGTCATTTGAAATCGATTTCATATTCCCCTGACACGACCACATGATTTAGCTAAAAAAATGATAATTTTTACAGTGTTTTTTACACTATTTACTAGCAGACTATTATCCTCATCTTTGTTGTTGTTATCACAACGTTTCGGCTGTTGTGCCCTCCAGCCTTCATCTGCGTATGTCGATCTGAGTAACAGGAAATTCCGAACAGAACTCTTTCTATGGGGGTAGACTGCTTTCATTCCACTGTCCATGTTTTGGTTACGCAGATCGACATACACCTGATGAAGGCCGGAATGAACAACAGCCAAAATGTTGTGATAACAACAAAAACTAGGACACTAGTCCGCTTGTAAAAATAAGTGGAAAATTTAAAAAAAAGAAAAAAAAATAGCTCCACATCCCAGAAATTCAAACGTGTGTAAAAATGATAAATTGTTAAAAAATGTTTATGAACTCCAGATTGGCATTTTATTCAGTTGAAGCAATGAAATTGAAAAAAGTGGTGTTTTGGGTGGGGTGCTATAAAATCACAAGGTTGTTACCTCCAATGTGATGCTGCAACTCTTGGTCTGATCATACAACAGTGGTCAGGACAAGGCACAACCATATGATAAATTTTTTCAGCACTGCACCCCCCCACTTCGTCATGATACATAATTAGTTTGGACTAATTTCTTTATTTTCCTGCTTTTTACTGCAATATTTGTTGCCCAAATAACTGTTGTCATAAGAATTCTGTGACAATTCAGAATAAAAGAACAGCCATTTTAATGAGATTTGAACTCAGCTATCCCAAACCTCAGGAGAATCGATGACCAATGCCTTAGTCATTTAGTCTATTTTGAAGCTTCATTGATGAGGCAGAATTCTTCATTTTGGTCTTTCTGTCACTATTTCTTTCTTTTGACTTTATTCCATGCTTCATTGTTGACAACCCAATCATTGTTTAAATAGCAATACTACTCCAATGTTGTTTAGAGGTTGTGAGATGTATTTTTATTATTAATTGATGAGTTTCATATTTTTTTCTTATTCTTTACAAGCAGGTTTCTAACCAATTTAGTTTTCAGGAATTCAGATTCAAATGGTTGAGGTTTAAAGTGGGTTTTAAACTGAACGGCATAACCATCGCCGGTGCGTACTACCCTCTGAAAAGGAGTGAGACTCTAGCCTAATTGGGGATCCTAAGTAGTGCTTTCTAACTCTTGCTATCTTATCAACGTTTGCTTTTTTTTTTCTACCTCCATTTCTTTACGCTACAAATTAAACAAAGCACAACTGACTATTAAAGGATCGAAAATTTTAACGGATTTTGACATCATTTTGAGCTGTTTTTTTTTTTCTTTTTCCCTTGTCCAAATCCGTGAATAAAAAAAAATTTGTTATCCATAATGTTGAATGTGTTAAAATTATTTTAACTCTTTAACAAGAGAAATTTCTATAAAAATGTCCGCAAAACATTGTTGATTTATTTAAGATGGAATGATCTATTATGACTTGTCTGTAATTTGTATTTAAATCCATTGTATTTATTTTCAATTTTTCTAATTGAATTCTTTTTACCTATATTGTATATGATCCATTATTGTACATAATTATGTGACAATAAAATTTGTATTTTATACAAATATTACCTTATGAAAATGAAATGTAATAGAGTGACCCCCCAAGTATCATACATTCAGGAGGTTGCATCTGTAGCGGGCACTCCGTGCAGCCCCGTATCACAGAAAGGGGTGAACAAGGTCACAAGAGGCCCGCTGACATTTTTGAAGATGTTAAATCTGACGGTGAAACAACATAGACGAGAGAACGAGGATATGTATGATAAATGCTAATTTATTCAGGGAAAGAAAAAGGAAATAAAGATGGTCGGAACGGTAGAGGTGCAGGCATTGACGGTCGAGGTTAGTGTTAGTAGTTGCTAGGATCATCGTTGTTGGGGGTTGAAGCTGATGTGGGTTGTTGCCAGGATGATCGCTTGGTGGTTGTTGAAGTTGATGTTGGTTGGTGCCAGGATGATCGTTGTTGGTCGTTGAAGCTGAGTCGTTGCTGGGGTGCCAACTTGTTGCTGTAGTTCATGTTGCCAACTTGTTGTTTGTCATTGCCGGGATGCCAACTTGACGTGTTGGGAAGGAGAGAGAGAGAAAGAAAGTTCCAACTATCGTCAAGTTGGCAGACAAAAAAAAAAGTGGAGCGTAACTTAATACACAGCCCGTAGATCGGGCGCCCTTGGACAATGAAGGCCAAGGGCCTCTTTGTGAGACGACTGTTCTGACCGCCGACAGCCTCCCCCGAGAATCTAGGGAGAAATCACTGTCTTGTGTCGAGGGGGACCAGCAAGAGAAATTGGCTAAGCTAATAAGTACCTATTTTGATTGTTAAAACCCCATATGCCTTTCATCCTAAAAATTTTAGAAACATTTCAGACCTTTTGTAAAACATTTTTGAAAAATAGTATTTATGACCATACACTTAGCATAAATTTTCTTTCATACATAAAATATGTATAACAAGATTAAAACATTTTCTAAAAACAGAACTGTGATGATGAAAGACTTAGCATATGCCACTTTTAAGACCCCAGCCACGGCCGCTAACAAAGAACAAAACCCAAGCACTACGCATGTTTTTATGTTTTTTTTACAATGTCAATTTTCATCATAAAAATGGATTGTTATGTTTTAAGTCGCTTAAATAGCAGGAAAATAATACAAGAATATTTTAAATATGTTCTATGAAAAAAATATGCAAATCAAGGGAGTTCTCGGCAAATAATTTGTACATATCTTCTTCAGAAAAACATGCAAATATTCAGGGTTTCCACGAATAACAAGTACGTATATTAGGTTTGTCATTTAACTGATGTTACCTTCAGCATTCCAACAAAAATATATATTTGTTGGGATGAGTTCTCCAGGCCATCTACGTATTTCACATAGAAAATGTTTAAATTTCCCTTCCTCTCTGCTGTGCGATGATAGCCTAGGGGTAGAATCTCTGACTGACCGATAGCAAATCGGTTGGGTTTCGATTCCAGCTTTAAGCAATTGGACATCTTGCCACACTGAAGAGCTGCGATACTAAAACTGTCTGCAAAACTGTCTATCTGTGGATGATATATATATATATATATATATATATATATATATATATATATATATATTTTTTTTTTTTTTTTTCAGGAAAATTATGGTTTGGATCATATAGAGATCAAAGATAATGGAAAAGGAATTCCTGAAAATGACATACCATATTTGGCTAAACGTCATTACACTTCCAAGATTTCGGCTTTTACTGATTTGGAGCAGTTATTGACTTATGGATTTCGTGGTGAAGCTCTTGGTGAGTTTTTTTATTTTTATTTTTTTTTACTAAGTTTTCCTTATGGTTTTTCTCAGAAACCATGTTTTGTTTTTATCAACTAAAGTTTATCCAATGTAAGACTTAAAAGCAATTCATGGCAGGGGATTATTCACACTAGTGTGTGATACGTCTCTAAGAGGACGTATAAGGAACTGAAGATTCTAAGGATATAAAAAGTAGCAATTCTCAGGGAAAAAGCTGAGCGGAACTTCCTCCTTACAATTGGTATACAGAGGAAATGTAAGTAATTTGACTTGCTGAACATAGCATAAGTCTTAGCTGTAAAGTTCTGAAATGGTGGAATTAGAGAATGGAGCTCATCTGAGCATTTGCCATGGAAATAATCATAGAGTAGCTATAACGTTGTCCGTAGAAAAGAGGTTGTAGAATGAAAAATATCTCTCAAGACCTATATATCTCTGAGATGAGGTATTATGATTGCTTAAATTATTTACATTATTCAGACTATTATCCTCAGCTTCATTGCCATATTAACATTGTCTTGGCCATTGTACGCTCCTGGAATTTTGTGCCGAACCCTTTCTTTCATCCACCGGGGTAGATTGTTCTAGTTCCACGTGCCATGCCTCTTCTGGATATCTCAATTATTTCCCTTTAACTCAACTCTCCAAGTTTGGTTCACCACTGCTGTGGCCTGGTATTGAACTCACAACACTTCGGGTCTAGACACTGGATCTAACCAACGTCTTTATCCACTGAGCCATTGGAGAGTTGAGTTAAAGGGAAATAACTGAGACATCCGGAAGATGCATGGCACGTAGGAATTAGAACAATCTACCTCAGTGGATGAAGTAAATGGTTTGGTTCGAAATTCCAATCACCTGATGAAAGCTGGAGTGTACAACAGCCGAAACGTTGTGAATACGAGGATAACAGTTCAAATAATGTAAGTAATCTCTTGAAACAGTGTAAATTCTATCAAATCTGGAATGTGCTGATTGAGTAGCTTCAACCCATATATAGCAACAGGAGTCCATTTTCGGTCTAAATTGACGCAGAAGGTGTCAGGTACTTCCTGGAGTGGCACAAGGAGCCATCTATTATATATTATGCCTTTAAATTCCTTGAGGAACATAGGGCCGCAAGATATTAGTGCGGTTTCTATAACAAGTCAGTTTTTTAAGTGAGTAGGTTGTTAGCTTACCACCCAACTCACAACCTGGAGGTTCAGGTTTTGAATACAGTTGTCCTTCTCTTTGACCATTTGCCATCCAAGGCTATAAAACCTGGTCTGTCCTGCTATTTATCCATAGCTGGGGGAAGAAGAAAAGGATTCACACCTTTCGCAAGGATATTAGCATGTAAGTGAATGTAATGAATTTGATTGGAATTTGAACTCAGCTCTCCGATTCCTCAATCCAAGCTGCTATCTATTACTCCACTGTGCTTCCTGATAGAGTAGTAATAGACTTTCAATGTTTTCCATGGAAAAGAGGTTATAAAATGAAAATTGTCTCTCAAGACAGCGTAAATTATTTTGAATTCTATCAAGGTTGATATGTGCTTATTGAGTAGTTTCAACCCAGACATAGAAACAGGACTAAATTGATGCAGAAGGTGTCAGGTACTTCCTGGTGTGGCACATGGAGCCAACTGTTATACTGTACTTCAAATTAGATCTCATTCTGATTCACTCTACCTGTTGGTCAGATGTCAACACTTAGAAAGCAAAACCAAAAATTAAAAAAAAAAAAATGTCCTCCGCACAGGGGGCTCCAAGCATTACATCCAGCCCTCAAAACAAATCCCCCTCATAGCTTCTCCCCCAGTTATGGCTTAATTAGTAAGCCTTGTATCAATAAACCATTATTATCTGAAAAAAAAATCTAAAAATATGTTCTGGCTTTAAATAACCTGCAAAGCTGTAGAAAATGGATCGGTCAATCAATCAATTGAAACCATTTACAAAATGTTACCATTTACCAGCTCAATAAATGTCACCTATCTTTTTTGCTGTTTGGTCAGCAATTTTTTCCAACTCTGGAAATAAGAGCATCAAGGAACAAAAAATTGTCATTTTCCTCCATTTTGAATTTAACACAAAAACATTCAAAATTCATACTCAAAACTGGAATCTCATATTGAAATGAGACCTTATAGAATATGTATACCAGCATTCTCTATTGTGTTCAAAGAAATCAGACCCCGGAAGAATCTGCAATGTTATCTGTGCTGAACAGACATCTCGGCTTCGGTAACTTTCCGTCCATCATAATGTCACTTCCCTGGCTTTTTCTATAAATACTTTCATGGTAATTGTTCTGATGAGTTCTTCATTATTGTTATTTTATTCCCCTCCCCTCACAGACAATGAATTGTACATATGGGGACGAATTAGGATTTTCATAGAGACAATGAGGTATTATGGTGGATGTAGTAAGAAAGGTAAGTAAGAATGTGTTGTTTTGGTGTGAGGAATATTCTCGTATGTTTGGGTTAGTGTTTATGGCTAGCTAATTTTAATGTTAAGACAGAAGAAGGCCTTTCCTTTCCTTTCCCTATTCCCCATTTCTGGCCTTGTTACCACATTTTCTGTAAATAAGCGGAAATGAATATTGCTCTTGAATATGGTACCTAGACTTTATGAATTTAAGAACAGTACTAGATTGGTGGCAAGGTCTCATCATTTTACAGTTTAAATGGATAGATGCAACCGTAAGTTCTTTGCTAAGAGTTTCTTCTATTGCACTTCTCACTTGTGGAACTCTCTTCCAGCTTCTTGCTTCCCTGTCTACTTTGATCTTCATCAATTTAAATACAATGTCAATCATTATCTTCTGTCTTTATTTCTGTTCTTTTATTGTTTTTGCTCCTTAATAGTGTTTTCTTTTTCTTGTATTTTTTCACAGGCAGTAATACCCTTTGTCTTAGTGGCTTTATTGCCTTGCTTGGGGTGAAATCTTTTTTGGAAAAAAAAAAAAAAATGAAGATCAACATTTACAAAATGGAAATTATGATCTGGAGTTGGAACGAAATCAGTGACTGCACATACTCTGAATCCATGAAAAATTCAGGATATAAAGTTGTGTAGATATGGTCCCAAACTTGTTCAGAAATATCTAAACTGTCAGTTGTATACAAAGGTATTTGCTCATAAGTGAATATAACAAGCTCGACTGGAATTAGAACTCGGCTCACCAATTCCCAATTCTGAGCCATTATCTATTACACTACTAGCATATCCAAGTATATAGCACCTGGTATTCCCAAGAGGCCACCCATTTAGGTACTAACCAGGCTTGACTTTGCTTAACTTCAGTGATCATATGAGAACTGGTGTTTCGGCATGATATGGTTGTAAGCCCTTTGTATTTGGTGCACAAGAGTAAATTCAAAAATTATGTAGAACAACAGAAGTCAGGACGTTGTGGAGAGCTATGATCAACCTTGTTGTGAAAGGTGATGAGGTATAAGATTATTTCTTATTGTTTTTTAATAGCTCACTAAAAATTTGCACTGTCCCTATGTTTTGATCCATTATAATTTTTGATTCATTTCTATAGTAAAATCTATATTAAAATATTTCTATAGTAAAATATATTTCATTGCATTTCTATATATGTCTTTAGTATTTGTTGTATCACTATATCCAGCATTCATTCTACCATCTATTACTGATATGTTGCCAGTACCTTTTTGCAGAAAAACATTCCCAAACTATGATTCTGTCAACACCAAATTTCACTGTTTTTTTGTTTGAAGTCATCACCATCTTTCCTCTATACATGATTTTCACAGGCCAGGGTAAAATTATTTTCCAACTAATGAAAACCTTGTATTCAAAAAGTTCACACATATGTGAAATTAGTATATTGGATCTCTCTTACGAATATAAAAATAGAAGCATACTTCTTCTCAAGGTTCAAAACAATTTTTGATCTACATGTTTATACACACACACAATACCAGATGACAACAAGCAGCCACGACTAAGGCTTTGTCCACGTACTGACAAACACATTAATCTGACTGTTATACAGTCTGTCCACACATTTCACAAAACACTATGAACACTTAATTACTTGACATAACAAACTTCACAACAGGGGAAATTGAACATTTTATTGTTATTGTATAATTCTGAAAAGAATATATAAATGCTATTTCAGCAGATGTTCTGCTTTTACTTTTTCTTCAGAAAATAATATTTTTTATGTTTCATTTATGTGTTACTGATGTTAAATGTTTGAAATCCCGACACTTGGAATATCAACAAAAACCTGGGTAGCTGGAACCCAACAATCTGCCTGCACAAAAAAAATTTTTGCTCATTTGGATTTTCATCCTGTTTACTACAGAAGCCTCTTATTGTAAACACTTTTGGCTACTAACATGAATACAGTATATAAAAACAGAACAATTTAGATGTATTATTATAAACAACTTATAAATTACCCTTAATAAATAAATGCAAAGAACTTGTCTGTTCAACAACCTGACTGTCTCCACCAAAAGACATGCCTCTTTGAAAACCTCTCCCAATCTAAAGAACTAGCATAGAGACCAGAACAATACCAGTGGTAATGGGGGTTTTCAGCCTGGAAGAGATAGGAATGGGAAAATATGCCAACAAAATCCCTGGCAGCATCATGATACAAGAAGTCCAAAAGATTGTCCTGCTCAGCACTGCTTACATTTTGAAGACTCTCTCCATCAAAGAAAACCATCACACCCTCATGATAAGACCCCAGGGATGGACTTGCCCCTATGAGTAACCAAGGCATGATATTATTAAGTGGCTGTAATAATAATATTAAGTGGCAGTAATAACATTTTTATTATTATTATTATTATTAAAATATTCTGAAGTACATTTTAACCTGATATTGCTTTCATTACTATGTTGCTTTTAGTGGATACACCTGTTTGAGTAGTTTCAGGAGTGAAATTAATGTCTACCATCCTTGACAAAGAAAGTCTTATTCAAAGTGCATTTTTTTTATTTAGACTTTCTCTTGCTCATCAATTTCACTTTTAAAAAACATGCATATTGACAGTGATAAAATTCTCATATATATTATTATCATCATCATAATTGCTGATGATGATCATAATAACATTTTATTATTATTATTATTATTATTATTATTAAAATATTCTTATAACATCTATAAAAATTAAGATACCTTAATATATCTTTTATCTTATAAAAAAATTAATACACAATTAACTGGCTTGAAATTATAATTTTTTTTTTTTTAAATTCAGCTTTAATAAGTTATTTGTAACTGACTGATTTTGATAGCCATTTGATAAATTTGTCTCTGATTCTAATAAATAAACTTTTTCCTCTGGTCTTCTTAGCTTTCAACAATCGAAACCTCTTTAAATTCATGAGTAGTCTTCATTTTTTTTTTTTAATTTATTTATAAAATCTCAGCCACAGAAAAATCTTCATATTTTATTTCATTCTCTTCATCAGTTCTTTTTGTTTTTGCTTTTTCTCAATTCCAGCCTCTCTTTGTGCTGTAAGTGAAGTGACTGTCACCACACGAACGGCAGCTGATGCTGTGGCACGTTGTCTTCTCCTCAACAACACCGGGGATGTTGTTTCCACAAAACTTTCTCCTCAACCCGAAGGTAATACATATAATAATCTTTCATTCATTGAGATTTGGTTTGATTTTGGATTACTGATGAAGTTTTTATGCATGTCCTTAATAAGTTCCTATAGTAAAACAACATGCAATGCATTTCTATAGTAAAACGACATGCAATGCATTTCTATAGTAAAACGACATGCAATGCATTTCTATAGTAAAACAACATGCAATGCATTTCTATAGTAAAACGACTTTCACTGCATTTCTATAGTAAAACGACATGCAATGCATTTCTATAGTAAAACGACTTTCACTGCATTTCTATAGTAAAACGACATGCAATGCATTTCTATAGTAAAACGACTTTCACTGCATTTCTATAGTAAAACGACTTTCACTGCATTTCTATAGTAAAACGACTTTCACTGCATTTCTATAGTAAAACGACATGCAATGTATTTCTATAGTAAAATGACTTTCACTGCCTCTATAGCAAAACAACTTGCAATGCATTTCTATAGTAAAGTGAATGTGGCTAGTATTCAGTGCAATCAATTTTCCCGATTCACTAGAATTCATGTCATCTGGTGGATCTTGTTCATTGTGTACCTGCCAGAAATGCTAGACTGTAGCTTTGTTGATCTGGGTGAGATTTATATTATCCTGTTTCTTTAACATCTGGTGATCTTGAAAATTGCTGTCGTTATCAGTCAGTTATGTGCCATGCGTGATACACACTTAAGCAATCATATATCTTTTGGTACATGACTGACGAGGCAGATTTTTTTCTTGCAATAGGTTGCCATTTCTTTCTGCACTAGACTAGTTGCCATCCAAGGCTATAGAACCTGGTCTGTTCTGCTATTTACCCATAGCTGGGGGGGGGGACTAAGAAGAGGATTCATACCTTTCCCAAGGGTATTAGCACGTAAGTGAATGTAATTATAATGACTTCGAATGGAGTTTGAACTCGGCTCTCCGATTCCTCAATCCGAGCTGTTATCCATTACTCCACCATGCCCCTTAATACAAAATCTTATAAGGAAACCACTGTTTAAATTTCATAAGTATAGAATAAAAAGTTTTTTGTCTGTATTAGTATGAAGTTCATAAGTACAGAATGTTATAGTAAATATCAACCGCTATGTTTTCCTACTCATGTATACAAATAGACAATTAAATATTTTATCTAGTTAAAATTTGAAAATAAACAAATAAAATCAAATATACAAAGGGCTAAGATATATAAATTTTGTAGAAATTCAGGTAAAATTAATTTCCAGGCCTGATGAGAACTACATTCTTCACTGCAAAATTTGTTTGGGCTTTTACTGGCAATACAGTGTACACCTCACTAAGCATAAACTACAAGAAGACAGAATGCATGGTCATCAGTAAAAGGATGAGCCCCAAATGCGATTTACAGGTCGGGAACACTAGAATCAAGCACACGTGGAAGTTTAAATATCTGGGAAGTGTTTTGACAGAGGACGGTAAGTGTAACACTGAGATCCGTAAACATATTGGGATGGCCAAGGACACATTCCAAAAGCTGGGCAGAGTATTGCGAGACAGGAGGATTTCTTTGGCAACAAAGAAAAGGATACTGAACTGCTACGTGACACCTGTCCTTCTTTACAGCAGTGAATGTTGGACGATTTCCTTAAAGATGAAGAAGAGACTCGAGGTGACGGAGATGTGGTTCTACAGAAGGATGCTGAGGATATCATGGACACGATGAGGTCTTGGAGAGATTGCAAACAAGGAGGAGGGTTATACTTAATATCAGGAAGAGGCAGCTGAAGTTCCTGGGACATATGATGAGGAAGGGGGACCTGGAGAATCTGATATTCACGGGTTGAACAGAGGGAAAGAGAGACAAGGGAAAGCAACACATGACATACCTAGTGACCTTAAGCAAGCGGATGAGAAACATAGTCTGGGGGAGGAAGCAGAGGGAAGGAACTTGTTGAGAGCTGCAAGGGATAGGAGGAGGTGGAGAGCCATGATCGCCTACACCCTGAAAGGCCATGGCACATAAAAAGAAAGAACCTAAACACTGATGAACTCGATTTTTTTGGTACCCTTTTGATTGAAAGGCGTAACCTTTTAGTTGTTGATAGAAGTGCCATTAATGTATGGGGCTCGTTTTGATAAAACTTGTTAAATAGGTTTAAAACCAGCCCTGCTCAAATCAATAACCACTTTCCATGCACGGCTATAACTTAATCAGGGCCACTGCCATGTGACACCTCTGTTGCAAAGGCGTCTCTTTAGATGCAGTGTAGTTTTTCAGATGGCCCTCGAATTTGACAGTGGCCTTGTAGACTATGTTCTTAACTTGGAAGTTACTATCTCTACTTTAATTCTTGTTGTACTGCGTTAACTCTTTTTCTAATATATAATTACTGTAAACTTTATTTTAGTTGATTCCCATGTTTGAGTAGACACCCTGTTTTTTTCTTGTTCTTTAACCAGTGTAAGTTGCACCTCTCCAGGCTGCATATTGAAGAGAATTAATGAAGAAAATTTAATCTTCTTGATTATTTTGTTAGCTGATTTGGTTTGAATGAAGATTTCATCAGTATATCAAACATTTTGTGTTGATTATTTTTACTGATCAAAGTAAAATTAACCGACACAAAATGTCTGAAATATTGATGACCTCTTCATCAAAACCTAATCTGTTAATGACATCATAGAACTTAAAATTTTTTTTTTTACATCACAGCACCCCCCTAGTTCTACAAAACTGACCATTTATCTCTACCTACCTTAATGATGTTGACTTAAGGAAGTCGAAAGCTTGGACCATATTTCTTGTAGTTTTCTTCCAAAATGAACAGTTTTTGATGGAATTTCTTCCTTGTCTGAGAACGATATATACCAGGTGTAACAGCAAAATTGTCCAATTGTCAGATTAAGATTTGAACCGTTGTATCTTAGAAATGATTAAAGATAACTTAGTCAAATTCTCTGAGAATTTTATAACACTATTGGACTGTACTTTGAGCAAAAAGAATGTATAATTACACTACAGACTTAACAGAAAAATCGTGATGAAATTGATCATAAACGAAAATGACATGTTTATCATTAATTAGTCCTAGCTAAGGACCAGAAGCTCATGAAGGTTTGACATGAAGTTCAGATTAAAACTTATTAACTGTTCTCTTGACGATTCTTGAATGGATTTTGAAGATGGAAGCTAAAAGTATAAATGTTGGTACCATTACTGAAGGCTTGATCTTTTTCCTCTCACCATTGCTCAGTTGGGAAAACAGTGAGGCTGACACAAAACGATTTTAAACTTGTATTTCTAGCTGAAATATTCAAAGGGTTTTTCAGGAAGACAAATGGTGTCAAGGTGAAAACCATCTTACCTTAAAACCTGTAAAAAAAAAAGAAACTCAATTAGTTTATTGATTTTTTTTTTTTTTTTTTAGATATTAAACCTTTTATGGGATGAAGAATTATGCTGTTACATGATTTGGACAATTTTGCTGTTACGCCCAATATATATATATATATATATATATATATATATATATATATATATATATATATTATTAACAAATATATATATATATATATATATATATAATTAAATTAATAAAATATAAAGTTTGTCACTTGGCTGATTGGTGCTATCTTCAGCATCCAGACTTTAGAGTTTTGTAGAAGGCCCTCTAGCAACAACTCTGTCCACTTGTCAAGGGATCTCAGCGATTGACTTTTTTCTTGTTTTTCTTTTATATATGCACTTTTCATTAGTGCAAAGTTGATTTTTTTTCCTTTCATTGTGTGCATGTGCCCACATACAGAATGTCAAGGTCATTTCTCCATTTTGTTCGTTTTTTTATTTTTTGGCTCTTTACACATTCTACTTATTCGTTTTATATTTTTTCTCTTTCAGTTGCAGAAAATTTGACATCCGGTTTTCCAGACAATCATTGTTTTTCTTAATTCTTGAATGTGTATGTATATATATATATATATATTTCTCTATCATATATATATACATACATACACACACACACATATATGCACATATGCACAAAAGTGCATTCTTTAAAAGGATCCTTTGTCAACCAACACTTCTTCAGAAGAATACATTGGTACTTGTATATGCTTGGTTTTCATTATGCGAATTTGTTTTATTTTGTTTATTTAAGAAAGTACCAATGTACTCTTCTTAAGAAGTGTTGTTCGAAAAAGGATCCTTTAAAGAATGTGGCTGTTTGTGTGTGTATATATATATATATATATATATATATATATATATATATATACACAAGAGTTTGTCATTGCTTTGAAATTTTTTATGCAACAAAAACAGACTATTATTGTTTTGTTCCTGTATTGTTTGATATATTGTAATGTAATTGTCATCTTTGATAATGGCTTATGTAAGCCGAAAGCTTAGACTGGATTTAAACATATATCAGTATGGTGATTTCCTTTTGTCTTTCAATGATAATGTTAAGCTTATCAGACAATATGAAAAGAACTTACTTAAAATAAATAGACAAAACTTGTCTATATTATTTAATGAAACATGCATGAATATATATATATATATATATATATATAAATGAGAGAAAGAACAGATGGAGTAAAAATCCACTGTTCATAGCATTTACTTTTAAAAAGGTGCTCAATACAAAGTAGAGCAATGTATTTTTATTATATTTATATTATAAGAATATAATAAAAACATTTTTTTTTATGTTTTGATATTGTAAAATAATTAAGATTATAATAATTAATTATAATAAAATAACAATTTATAATTGAATAATTATGATGATAATAAAATAATTATAATAATAACAAAAAATGTTTTTGAGATTTTAAAATAATTAAGATTATAATAATTATAATAAAATAATTAATAATTATAATTGAATAATTTAAATGATAATAAAATAATTATGATAACAAAAAAATGTTTTTGAGATTATAAAAATAATTAAGATTATAATAAAATAATTAATAATTATAATTGAATAATTAAGATGATAATAAAATAATTATGATAACAAAAATGTTTTGAGATTGTAAAAATAATTAAGATTATAATAAAGACATTTTTTTATGTTATTATAATAAAAATATATAATAATAATTGTATATATTTGAAATTTTATCAATAGTTTGGTTTCTATGTTTGTTTGTTTTTTTTTGCCCACCCCCACCCCACTTCCAGGTACAACAATTTGTGCTGCTAAACTCTTCAAAAATCTTCCTGTGAGACAACAGTACAACAAAAATGATAAGAGACGAAAAGAAGAACTGAAGAAAGTGGAAAACCTGGTCGTGGCGTTTGGCATTATCAATCCAAAGATTCGGTTTACGCTACGTCATAACAAAGACATGCTCTGGCAGAAAGCTGCTGTTGATACAATTCGCTCGGCTGTGCTCGCAGCATGGGGCTACAGTGTTGTACAACTCCTGGAACACATGCAGCAAACCAGAGAGGATCCGCAGGTAGGCTGATCCGGTGTTTTTTTTATTGTACTCATCAAATGGATCTGTTGATACTCCAATAGTTAAAAGCACAGAACATTAATTTTGTGTGCAGAGTTCAAACATTGGTCAAATCTGTTTTGCTTGCATTGCACTAATGCTCTTTAAAAAAGCATGAATCCATTTTCCTCCCGCTATGGGTTAAATAGCAAGGCAGACTGGGAGAAGGAAAACTCTGAATTCAAAATCAGCCTGAAGAGCTCGGTATGCATCATTCTTTTTTGTTCACACTAATACCCTTGGCAAAGGCATGGATTCATGTTCCTCCAGCTATGGGTTAAATAGCATGGTAGATGAGGCTTTCTTACCTTAAGGTAACAACCAGTCTAGTAAGAGGAAAGCTCTGAATTCAAAACCAGCCTTAAAGTGATGGGTTGTACCAAGCTGTTTTGCCCTAGCCAAACGACAGCAGCTATGGTTGCAATACATGTGGTACTCTTATGATGCTAATGGGATTTGCGGCTTACGAATGGATCCAATGGAGTAGGATGATCCAATCTTTTATCTTATTCTTATTTTGCTGTGGCTGGTATTCTGGCTTAAGTGACGAGGGTTCATATTGACAGTGTTAATAAAAACAAGGATCGTGTCATTTAGCGAGTGGTCAGTGAGTTAATGCCTTAATCTGTTAGCAAAGTGAGTTTGCAATCCCTGCAAACTATAATTCTTCATATATATATATATATATATATATATATATATGAAGAATTATAGTTTTAAGGTGTGTTATATTTATGGGATAAAGTGCTCAATATCAGAGATAGAGCATATGTAAATCTAAATCTAAAAGTGAACACTAAAGTCAACATTCAGAGGCGACAGGCTGTTTCATGCTAAATGCAATCGTCAGGCCTGAAGATTGCGTCTAGCATATATTTGTATTTGAATTATAATTATACTATTTTGTACTTGGAAGTGTGTGTGTTTTGTTTGTGTGTATATATTACCTTTTGATATTATTTTATCTTTATTTGTTTTATTTATTATTTTTTTTTTACTCTCCACCATAAATAAAATGGACTGCTCCACCATCATTAGACTACGATATATATATATATATATATATATATATATATATATATATATATATATAGCCTGCCCAGCGTTGCCGGGGATGTAACAGTAAGAGATAGATCAAGTATCGACCATCATAAAGACTGAAAAATAAAATTGACAAAGATTATTGTTTAAGGTTGACAGACACGCATATCTTAATTAGCTTTTTTTTTTTTTTTTTTTTTTTTTATGAATTGGTCAAACCCAAACTCAAAAAAAACATTGTTTTTCATCGTTATGAAATCTACCGATTGAATAAATTTTATTATAAACAATTGTCTTGTAAATGGAATTTTAAAGCATTCTGAATGTAAAAATGAAGAAAAAAGTGTGCAATAAGAAACACTACCTGCCAAAAAAAAGTGAAGTTTTCTTGAAATTGGTTGAAAAATGTAAGAAATCCGATCCCATATATAAACAAACACACACACACACACACACAAACAACCTGGATTTTATAATAAGTATAACTCGATATGAGTTGTCCCCCTTGCGAATCGGTTACAGAATCGTGTTTTATCGTGTTTCCAAATTGTTTTCGTTCAAAAACAATTGTGTTTTTCCAATTTTTGGCGCTGTCAGAACCACCGCAAGGTAATTTTACGCAGTCCTGTGAAGTTCTGTTGAAATCGGTTGAAAAATATAGGAAATCCAATCCAATATATAAACGCACAGACACACACACACACATACATAATCTGCGTTTTATGATAAGTAAGATGTATATTTAGGCAGCAAGTATTCATTCAACCGGCAAAATCTGTCTGTTTAATTTTATTGTATATTTTTCAAATTTCAAAAATTGGCAAAAACTACAACAGAGAAAGTCTTTAACAAAACTTGTATGGTTATATATACATATACACTACATTTCAAAAGTTTGAGATAACTCCTGGTAATTTTTTAAATCCCCCCCAAGTTGTTCTGTAGTTTAAATAAGAGAAAATTATTATGCATTGTTAAAAAAAAGTGAGACATGATTTTTTATTAGAAATTCTTATTATGACAAAAATTATGATTAAAATTATAATTAATAGAAAAAAAAATAAGGGAAATAAAACAAATAGACATAATATGTCTAGACTATTCAACCAAACATGTCTGAATGAAGATAGACTGCCTATGTATATATATATATATATATATATATATATATATATATATATATATATGATAAAGAACAAGTAGGAAATAGATCTTAATCTAACATGTTTCACTTTATTAAAGCTTCGCCTTAGATCAAGATAGAAATTATAAAAAGCAAGGAGACGCAGATTAATGGTATATTGTGTTTGGTTATTTCCTATTGGTCAGATACGTGTCACGTGTAATGAAGTAACAGATAATATTTATGTATGTCTGGCAAACATTCTCAAGACTAAAGTGTGTAAAAGTTAGTATGATGCAGTAAAATGTTTTGATTGGATACATGTCACATGCAATGAAGTAACAGATAATATTCAAGTAAATCTAAGAAAACATTGTGGACGTTTAAGTGTGTAAAGGTTAGTGAGACGCTGCAGGATGTTTTGAAAAAAAATTGTTTAGTTAGATATTTGATTAAAGTTTATCACATGTGTATTTAGTGTATGTATGTATGTGTGTATGTATGTATGTGTGTGTGTGTGTGTGTGTATATATATATATATATATATATATATATATATATATATATAATATGAAAAAGAACTCGTTAGGTAAATAATCCAAAGTTGTTTAGTATTTTAGTTATTATTTTTTTTTTAAATAGTGCTTTCGATACAAAAGTAGAGCATAAATATAATTATTTATTTAAAAATATGATTCCAACACGCTACATAAGAGTTCTCATGTTTCAAAACAAGAGCTGAAAACTTCAATATAATTATTTGAATTAAATTGAATTAAATTAAATTAATATGGAACAGATGGAACAGAGCTTACTTTAATTCAATTTAATTCAAATAATTATATTGAAGTTTTCTGCTCTTGTTTTGAAACATGAGAACTCTTATGTAGCGTGTTGGAATCATATATTATATATATGTATATAATATTGATTTTTATGTATCTGGGAGAAATTAGTTAGATCCATGAATAAGAAATCTGCATAAAAATGGTGATGTAAGGTTTTTTTTTTTGGTTTTTTTTCTTGACGTGTGCTAATAGTTAGTAATGCTATTAATATATTTTCATGATATTTTCTCTTTAAAAAAATATTTATTTGAAAATATATTTGGCAGTCGAAACTGCAGTTGTGTTTCTAACCAGTGTCTAAAAGTTTTATTGCCTATGCGCGCACACACTATTTTTTTTTTTTTTTTTTTTTTCCTCAGGTGTCTGTTGAGATGTTTGTACCTAAGTGTGGTTCAGATGTGATGACAATGAGCAAAACGAGCGGCGACCAGGGATTTGTTTATGTAAACAAACGACCAGTAATCTTAAAAAATATACAAAAGGTAAGCTTTGTTAGTTAATTTTTTTTAATTTTTTTTTTTTTTTTTTTTAATTCATCACAAGGCCAAATAAGGTAAAAACTATCATAGGAAGATCATGTTGCACAATCCCTCAAGTAGAGAGAACATGCTAACCTTGAAAATCAGCATTTGAAATCCTACATTTGACCCAAACTTAAACACTGATCTCTGGCACCAGTCAGAAGTACACAGTGACCTCGTAAAACAGGCCACTTCAGTTGAGTAATATGTACTAGCTGGTACCATAGAAAGTCTATAGTTGGTGGGTTGACGTGCTGTTTTTACAATTTAAAGGAAATGTAAGCATTCGTTACATATACATATACATATATATATATATATATATATATATATATATATATATATATATATATATCAGATTATAATAATTTTATCAAATATGTCTTTTTCAAATATGTCATTAGTTTCTTTTAATCATGTACAGCAGGACCCATGGAGATTTTTTTTTTTTTTTTTATTGTAACTAATATCTTGTATGCTATTTCAATTATGCAAACATTTAGTGTATAAGAGTGCTATCACTTTCCTGCCTTCCTTGACCCCCCCGACACATATTTTACTTATATATATATATATATATATATATATATATGAGGAAGCACAGTGGATAGTGGCTAATACCCCTGGGAAAGCTATTAATCCTCTTCTTCTCCTCCCTCCAACCATGGTTAAATAGCAGGACAGTCTGGGTTCTATAGCCTTGGATAGCAACTGGTCTAGGAGAAGGACAACTCTGAATGCAAAACTTATGGAGGGTCGTTTGGGGACCTTGTGGCATATAGTGCACCAGGTCTGTGTATTCAGCCCTTCAAAAAGTGTGGTTGGTTCCACACAATGCCTTCACTATTATTAGGTTGGTGCAAAAATAATGTCGTTTTTTGACGTTCAACTTAATGTCAAAAAAACGACATTATTTTTGCACCAACCTAATATAATCAAATCATGCTGGTGTCTGGGCTGTCAGTTCCTAAGAACTAAGCTGCTTGACCCTCATACATCGAATACGACATGAAAGTCAATATCTCTCTCAATATATATATATATATTGAGAGAGATAGCTTCAACACATCCCAGAATGAGGGGTACTTTTTTATTTTCTTTTAAGCATTTCACCCCAAGCAAGGCGGAAATGCCACTGGTTCACAGGAGGTTACAAAGAATGAAGGTGATAGAAAAAACTCTGTATAGGGGGAATTAGGAAAGGATGAAAAACATTAGACGATGGCGATTGACATTGCATTTAAATTTTTGAAGATTGTAATTATCAGGGAAGCCAGTAAATGGAAGTGAGTTCCACAGGCGGGAAGTGCGAGAGAAGAAGCTGTTGAAGTAGAAGTGGCAGTTACATTTAACTATTTCAATGGAAAAAGGGTTAGACCTAGATGCTAGTCTAGTAGTATGCTTAAATTTATGTAGTTTGGGCAACAGGTAGTGGGAGGAGCTCAACAGAACAATTGCCATGAAAATATTTGATGGAAGCCACATCACTTCTGTGAGAAAATGGCTGGAGTCAAGATGCCAGGTCTGGATTGATTACATTGCAGAGCCTTCTTTGGATTTAGTCAAGAACCTTGAGATGAGTAGCAGGAGCACCTGACCAGATAGGGCTACAGTATTCAATGCACGGGTAAATGGTAGATTTGTACAAGATGAATTCTGATGAGAAAAGTTTTCTGCCACGACACAGTGACTCAACTTTCCTTGCAGTAGATACAGCTGTTGATTCGAGGTAATCATTCCACTTCAATGTCCTGACTATGACTTTCTCAGAATTTACTGACAAAAACCCTGTGACTTCAATTTTCTTCATCTGTGTGAAGATTGTCAAGCATTCAGAGCCACATATAGGAGATTAAATATTAATCCAGCAATCTTTTCCTCATTTCTAACAATATTTTCTATCTCTTAATACTTTGCTTAACAAGATTTTAGGATAGTTTCTCTTGATTTTTTTTTTTTTTTTTCATCCTCGGTATAATGATAAACTACATTCAGCAGCAACACCGCTGATCCAAAAGTTTTGAGGAGAGTGGAACTCCCTTTTAATTGCTGTTCTCAAGTCCACTCTGACTCGGGGTGGTAGCACCTGTTAGGTTCCCAGCTATGGGCAAATAGTTAACCCCTAAACTGGGGCCAAAACAATATGAAAGTATAAAAATAGATTTTTATAGTAAAAATACCAGCAATATATTTGACTTTGTGACAAACCCTCTTTACAAAAATACGTCAATGAAACCTGATCTACAAACTGATTTATTATAAAGATATACGTATTCTATTCATATGAACCTATTCTAAAAATCTTGTTGGCATTAAATAACCCATTGAGGTTGATATGACATAAAACAAAATAAAACCAAATCCTTATCTAAGAACTGATTTCTTACAAGGAATACATATTTTGTTCATACAAACATATCCTAAGAATATTGTCGGAAAGTAACCCATTTAGGTCTTGATATGCCATAAAACAAAATAAGCCCAAACCCTGATATACTGATTTCTTACAAAGAATACATATTCTTTTCATAGGAAACTATCCTAAAATCTTGTCGATATTAAATAACCCATTGAGGTTGATATGTTGTAAAATAAACCAAACCAAACCTACAATTTTTAACAGGGTTCTACTCTTTTTTTTTCTGCTATAAACTCCTGCATGGATGCTTTCCCAGGCACTACAATCTTAACCAGGGTCAATGATTATCTATCCTTATACTCTTCATGTCCATCTTCTCTTGCATCCATACCACTCACCTCATTCAGTAACCCTCTACCTTGAGTGCCTCATGGGCCTAATATTGGGTGGACATTATAAAAAAAAAAGGTCTTTTATTTTCTTTTTCTTTTTTAAGGTGATCCGCCAGTATTATTGCAGCTGCCATAGCTGTGACACCAACAGGTATCCGCTGTTTGTGGCTTCGATCTCCTTGCCTCAAAAAGAAGTGGACATCAATTTGGATCCAAACAAAACTCAAGTCCTTATGCATAATGATGTAGGTATTTTTTTTTTATCTAACATTTGTTTGTTAGAAAAAAATGTCTCCAACTACTGAGACTGTTTTTGCTCTTTTTAACCTTTATCCTGCCAAATTCTTTCAAGAATTGCTCCCCATGCCACAACATTTTTTTGAGGTCGCAAAAAACATGAACACCTACTGTTTTAAAATAGTTATAACTTTCTTTGTATAGTGTGTATAGATTTTACTTTTTGTATACTAATAAAAGAATGCATGAATAATATTTTGATGAAATCGATTATATTTTGCATGCATGCTTTAATGTTGAAAACAAAAAAAATTGAAACACAAAATAAAAAAAAAAATACAATGACAACTAACACTTTAATTTTTATTACTCCTTATGGAGTCCTGAGGTTGCAATAAGAAACAAAATGGCTAAGTAGGCTTTCATTTCATCAGAAAAGTGACTTACTTCCTTGTGTTTACATACAAAAAGACACCAGCATTTTTTGGTCTTTTTTTTTTCACCGGACTAGGATATTTATTTGTCTCGTTGACAAATGAAGTTATTATTTCTGCATTTATAAATAGACGAAATAATTTACCTTTGATATTGAGATGGATGTTTCAGGTATGAAAATAACGCAACAGAACTTGTATTAAATTTGCATTTCTTTTTCGGCAGGATATTGTGATGGATGTTACAACGATTCTCCTGGAAACCATTTATGGTCCGCTTGGTTCCGTCTCTGGACGCAAACAGGTGTGTGAAAGCAAAGCTGACAAAACCCATGATTCTGACATTACAGACAATATGAAAGATGCCCGACAGATGCCAAACAATACTGATGCAAAATGTGCCTCAGATGACTTGTACCCGTCTAAGAGTGGGTCGCTCCCAAACTCCACGGAATCAAAACTAGAATCACCAAATATCATTTTTAGGCAGGATTCTTCAGAAATGAATTTTACATGTGATCTTGATAAGTGCCACCAGAGTTCTCTTGCATCAAAACCAGGAAGAACCCAAGATACTTCCCTTTCCTCATGTGGTAAGTACCTTTGAAAATGTATTATTTGAACTTATGAGGTTACACAAGATCGTTCCCTTTCCTCATGTGGTAAGTACCTTTGAAAATGTATTATGTGAAATTATGAGGTTACTGTCAAAGTTCTCAGCACCATCTTTTGTATAATATTGATCGATTCATTTTTATGGCTTATCAACCTGTTGCAGGTTATTTAAAGCCAGAAAATATTTTTAGATTGTAAGAATATTTTTATTTTTATTTTTTTTTTTTTTTAGATAATGGTTTAGTGATTTATTTCTTACTAATTATCCCATAGCTGTAGGTAGAAAGGTTGACTCATACCTTTCTCGAGGGTATTTCTGCGTAAGTGAATATAACAAACTCGACAGGAATTTGAACTCTGCTCTCTGATTTAAAAATTCTGAACTATTATCCATTACATCACCTATCCAAGATTACAGCACCTGGTATTCTCCAGTAGTCAACCATTTAGGTACTGACCAGGCTCAACATTGCTTAACTTTGGTGATCATACAGGAACCGGTATAGATGTATTATATTATCTAATGGAAGAATGATTACTAAAAGGTTAAACAAGGAATTCCATACTAGATTACTGTTGAACAATAAAAATGGCATTGAAATTCTAATATTTAATTCTTGGATATCCACTTTTGAGTTTGTGCCACTTTTTTGTTATTCTTTTTTTTTTTTACCATTTCCTTAGAGAAACCATCTTTGTCATCTTTGAATAGCACAGACAAAAATTTTCTTCTGGAACTCTCTGAAAACTCGGTCAACCAGCTGCCCAAGTCAAATTTCTTGAATGATTCAAAGAAGGCGTCAACTGCTACTGCTTCCAAACCTGGAATGGATCTCGATACTGGCGCCAATCTGCATCCTGAATCCCAAAGACAGGAATCAGAGATACCAAATGACACCTGTAGCAGTGATCTTTTTGACCAGCTGATGGGATCTTTTACCCCAGAGACACCGGTTGCAGCAGACCCAACATTGGCAGAGAATGCTGTTCCGACACAACAGCTAAGTCTTCTTGAAGACAGTCAGCGTGCAGCAGACTTTCTTGATTCTTTTAATGAACCTGTGGATGGAGAAACTTGGAGCCGTGGAAAGATGAAATCAAAAGATGGAGGTCTAGTGCAGGTTTGTATATTTGTGAAATATTTTTGTTCTGTTAATAGTATATGCTCTTCAAAAATATTTGGTGTGTGTATACACGGGCATGCAAACTTTTGGGCCACCTTGGTAAATTAACCTTTATCACACTGCAGGCGAAAATAGTTGCTGTAGAATTCTCTCCCTTTGTTGCTCTAGGCATATTCCATCGCCTTGAGATGGTTGCTATAAATAAACACTTGTCAACTGTTATTTCTGGTATTTTAAGCTGGAAATCATCTACTGTTGCTTTGGAATGAGGCTAAATTTCTGTTTTCCAACACAGTTTTGAATTCTTCTTGACTCTACACAAAGTGAAACATCAATAAAACCCACATTAATTTTTTTCACAATTTTTTTAAAACAAAAATAGCTGCATCAATATCCAAAAAGCCTTTATTCAGGAGTTTTTCTTTGATTCAGTCTCTGATGATGATTTTGAAGGCTTTACTCGAGTGGATATTGATGGTGAAGTGATTGAAGATGATAACCATGCTAGTGACGTGGATGAAAGTGACGATGACCTCTAGCGGCTACTATCATCCATGCCTGAGTAATTTTATGGAATCTACTGGCGACCATCAATATATATCTGATAGCCTTTCTTAAGGTGAATTATTTTGTCTATTTATAAACAATGAAATAACAACTTTATTTGTCAACAAGACAAATAATTATGTCAAGTGAAAGAAAGAGCAAAGAAATGCTAGTGTCTCCTTGGATGTAAACACGAGGAAACACGTCACTTTTTTTAAGGAAATGAAAGCCCTCAGCGTCTTTGCTTCTTATTGCATCCCCAGAACTCCACAAGGAGTAATAAAAGTTAAAGTTGAATTATGTATTTTTTAATGTATTTTTATTTAATTTTGCATTTAATTCTTTTGTTTTCAACATTAAAACATGCATGCAGAACATAATGCATTACATCAAGATATTACTCATTCATTTTTTTATTAGTGTACAAAAATTACGCACAATACAAAGAAAGTTATAAGAATTTTAAAACAGTAGGTGTTCATGTTTTTGAACCCTCAGAAAAAATTCCAGTGGCAAGGGGAACAATTCTAGAAAGAAATTAGTATAATAAAGGTTGATTATTTTTTGCTAATTTTACTCCTGAATCGAGAGTGATCAGCAGTATACTTTACTCCATACATTTTATGATCTTTGAAGGCGAGAAAACAAAGTTACTGCATTTTTGTTAATGCTTTATGGTAGATAATAAGGCATATTATGAAGGTACCTCTACAAAAATCACATTGCCTAAGGTTTAGAATTAGCATTTCTAGTGATCTGCAGGTGTATTGGGATGGCCAAGGACACATACCAAAAGGTGGGCAGGGTACTGCGAGATATGAGAATATCTTTGGTAACAAAGAAAAAAATACTGAACTGTCACGTGACATCTGTCTTTCTTTACGGCAGCGAATGTTGGACGATTTCCTCAAAGATGAAGAAGAGACTTTAGACAACAGATGTGGTTCTACAGAATGATGCTAAGGGTATCATGGACTGAGCATGTGGTCAACGATGAAATCTTAGAGAGGTTGCAAACAAAAAGGGGGCTTATACTTAACATCAGGAAGAGGCAGCTGAAGTTTCTGGGACTCATAATGAGGAAGTAAGGCCTGGAGAATCTGATACTCACAGGTCGAATAGAAGGAAAGAGAGACAAGGGAAAACAACGCATGACATACATAGCGGGCTTAAGCAAGTGGATGACAGAACGTGGTCTTGAGGAGGAAGCAGAGGGAAGGAACTTGTTGAGAGCTGCGAGGGATAGAAGGAGGTGGAGAGCCATTATCACCTTCATCCTGAAAGGACATGGCGCATGAAAAGAAGTGGTCCACAGACCTAAACCATAAAAAATTAGATTATCCACTCTGGTTTGTAGACCTAGAAAATTATGAGCCGTAAGATGAATATGTTGAGTTGGCTGAAATATTGCTGGACTTGAAAGAGAATATGAAAATGAGAAGAAGAGTTGACAACAAAGAAGATGTTTTTACCTACATATCAATAAATGACTCCTGCCCAAATATTTTTTCAACATGTAGAAGCAAGCATCATTTCTTTCCCTACCACATGGATAGTGGAAACTGGATTTTCAGCTGTTGTTGATGTTTTCAGTAGAAAAAGAAATAAATTAAGATCTCAACAGCAGAGGAACTATCAGACTAAGAGTGAATGTCATCATCAAAACTGATTTTGATATCTTGTGTCAGAAACACCAAGATCAAGGTCGTCACTAGCTGAATGGACTAAGACTGACACCATCAAAAATTGATCTTTTTTTGGGGGGGGGGCACTTGTCTTTTCAGTTTCCACCACAATGGTCCAATTATATTGAAATCAGGACATAGTGTTTGCCAGCCATCCAAAAGTTGAACATCTTCATTCGGAAGAAACTTTTCTGTTGCATATGTTGTCGGGCAAGGAGCACCATCCTGCTGAAAAACTTCATCCTTGCAGTCTAACAGAAGATTAACCCATAGTATACTAGATAGTATTTGCTGTTAAGGTTAATTCCATTAACTTGGGATTAATCCTCAGGGATTAATGCTACAAAAGAATAAATTTTAAAAAATGGAAACGAGAAAATCTTAATAAAAAGTTTATTGTTCTTTTTTTAATTTCTTTACTTAGCCTGTGCAACTGTTTGCGCCAACAGCTCGTCATACACCAGGAAAACGTCCACCATCTCCTTCACATGATTCACAGCTAACACCTGTAGCCAAGAAGAAAGCTGTCGAACCAAAGGTAAATTGTATATATTTTCTGTTTTTGATTAGTAAGAAATAAATGATTATCATAATTTTACGTTTCGCTTGTCAGGCAACCGTATAACATGGGGTGGGAGGGTTGTACACTGGTTAGATCAGCGCTTCTTAATTGGTGGAACTGAACCCTGCAAATTTCATCTGTGCATTTACTGAACCCTTTGTAATTGGAAAAATAAAATATCATTTCTTCAAAACATAGGTATATATTTCATGAACCAGTTGCACATGAAATCACTCTGTTCAAAGAACAAAACCGACAAAGTATGACATCCATGCTAAAAACATAACTCATTTTGCCGATCAAGAAAATATTTTACCCTTTTCACTTTCTTTAAAAGTGTCAGATCAGACAATAATTGAAATTTTGCTGCCATATCTGGAATGAGGCAGCTAAAATCCTCACTTTCCAAACTTGACAGTTTACATTACACAGTCTTGTAGGGCATTATGTATTTCCCGCTTTGCATCGTCTTTTCTCACAGGCACAAAGATGCAGAACTACCGCTACTATATCACTGTTTTTACACAAAATGTTTAGATCAGCGCTTCTTAACCTTGTTGGAGGTAATGAACCCCACAATTTTCATCCAGGCATTCACCAAACCCTTTGTAATTGGAAAAATAAAATATAATTTCTTCAGAACGTAGGTATATATTTTATTAGTGCACAAATGAACCATGCATAAGCTGCACATGAAATCACAATGTGCAAAGAACGAAACCAACAAAACATGACTTTCACACAAAATTAAAAACATAACTCGATGAATATTTACTGCAAGTCAATGTAACTTTTATTGTTGCCCATCAGAGACAAGTTCAGAAATGCGCTTCTTCACCTTGGCAAGTGCCACTCTTGTATTTTTGCAACAAAGTCTCTTCCTTTTCTTTGTTTTCATGTCTACCATCCTCAAAAAAGATTGTAAAGATACATTATAACAAACGATATGTGTATCTCGAGCGCTTTCTTAGCAATAAAAGGATACGCTACAATTTGGTGACCCCAAAATATTGAGAACATTGTTCTGAAGAGTTGCCGCTGAACCTGGCTCTGCTGAAGTTCATTGATTTCATAGAGGTATTCATTATTGACATGTCTTGACCTCTGCCGAACCCCTGAGAATGACTCACTGAACCCTTGCGGTTTGACCAAACCCAGGTTAAGAACGACCAGGTTAGAGGTTAAACAAAAATAAATATACCTCAATTCACTGATCATTTACGGCTACAAGCAAAATGCAAGAAGGATCTGAGGACCTCAGGATATGAATGTTCATTATTGTATAAAGAGGTTTGTTCTCCAAATGCATTTTTTTGTTTTTCTTTGATACTACATTTGATTCAGCACAAAGCTTGAGAGCCACTCAAGCTAGAATGATCATAATAGATTTGTTTTTTTTACTGCTTATCAACCCTTTGTAGGTTATTTAAAGTCAGCAATTATTTTTAGATCATAAGGATTTTTTTTTTTAAGTAATAATAATTTAGTGATACAAGTCCTACTAATTTAACCTATAGCTGGAAAGAGAAGAGGTAGCTTCATACCTTTTTTCATGGGTATGTTAATATAATGAACCCAACTGGAATTGGAACTCAGCTCTCCAATTATCAATTCCAAGCCATTATCCATTACCACACCTGCACATTCAAGCTTAGACCACCTGTTATTCTCAAGTGGTCACCCAACTTGAGCTAAAAGGCTATTGTTAAAATGGTAGTGATGAATGAAGTGTTTGTGATATGAATGAAAGAGATGATAGCGAGTAAAGATTATGAGGATAAGGAGGATATATAGCGAATGTTCCTGAACTTGAAGAGGTTAAGATTGTCGCTTTCAAGAAAGCACCCACATGGGAATGTGTTCCTCAAAGTGGCAGTTCTATGGTGGGGAAAAAAGCTGTGCGAGTGGGACTTTCTTCTTACAATTGGAATATAGAGGAAATTGCTGGATTTAATTTACCAATATTATTTTATCACTTTAAACATTATTTTTAGTGTCTACCCACATTTGAGTAGACGTTCTGTTTATTTTTTTAAACTGTATTTTTATTTCATCTACTGAGCTTAACACTTGAGAAATCTGATTTAAAGAAAATCTATTCTCCAACAAGATTTGAACCTGTGTCCCACTAAAATATATATAGGTTGATAGAAAAGTAATTCCCTATTTTATGTATGATGGACTCTACTCTCTTGTAAAGATTATAATTACACAGGAGAGTCCATCATACATCAAATAGGGAGGCATTTTTCATTTACCCTGTGTGTGTCTCATATATATATATGTATGTATATAGTCCATATTATATGTTTTGTCTAATTATTCTTGATTACACATTATTTCTCTTATAAATAACTTCGTTTTGAGTTTGACCCCACTCCTTTGGGTTTTTTTTTTTTGCCTTTTCTTCCTCTTTGTCTTCTTCTCTTTTCGGTTAGCAAATAAATAAGGTTAGCAAATGCAAACCAGAGAGAAAGTTTTCATATATACATCAGCAGTGTGAATTGGCTGGATTTTACATTTAGATCATTTAATTTTTTATTGTGCCTAATGTCACCACAAATGTATCCACATGTTTCCGGTGTCTTTTTTTTTTTAATTTTAGGTCAGCAAATCGGTAGTGATTTATGCATCTGAAAATAATTCATATTTATCTGTATCTCGCTCATTTAAACCGTTATTTAACTTGTCTTTTAAATTTTCATCCCCACCTTCACCTTAAGGCCTTTCCTGTTCTTCTTTCTTCCGTTACACCCTCTCTCTAGAGCTTTCATACATTCCCCACTCCCACACATACATTCTCACTAAAAATTTTTTTTTTTTATACCCAGAGTCATATTTTCTGATTTCTTTTTGAATTTGTAGGTCTGATGAATTGGATTGTGATTACGATTCCAATGTAATAAATTACAACCATGGAATATTAGTGTTTGAGCCTTTTACATATATATATATATATATATATATATATATATATATATATATATATATATATATATATAAAAGTGCTGCTGTTAATAATATAATGCTCAATACAAGAGCTATTAAGTATATATTAATAAATACACATATAATCCCTCACTGGGATTGTGCTTTGCATCAAACTCTGAATCTTGCTACTGCTGAGGGAGAATGTTTATTTATTTAAAAATATATAATGATTTACTTGTAATATCTATAAACCATGTGGTTTTTCCATACAGGTTAGTGTTAGGCTAGGTACAAGTAAACATTATCTTCTCGGCAATCTCAACTTCATATATAAAACTCTTTTGTTCCCATGCAATAACACCTTGGCCACGACTGAACAAAGAAAACTGTACTGGAATGAAATCTACACTGGCTTGATGCATAATAAGAAATCCTTTTTGTTACATGGGTTGCTGAGTATGGAATAGCCTGTGTGGCACACATTGCTGGAAATATGGCAAACCAGTTAGTATATATTAGTCATGCTACTCCTGTTCACTGATATGTTTTTTTTTTCACCTCTTTTCCTTTCCTCTTTTTCTTAGAGCAGTGTTTCTCAACGATTTTATATTTCAGGGCGCCCTGTAAGCATTCTGAAAGCAAAGAAAATGTTTCTCGCAGATTAATTCCACAATGCAAAGAACAAATCACTGTAAGTTCAGACTCGAATATCAGGGGCAGAAAGAAATGCTGAAAACTCGATTCACAGGTACTATCTCACAAATTCCAATGCATGTGAACAGTCAGAAAAATAACTCACTCTCTGACGAATGCTGTAGCCAAAATACATCCGTTTTTCCTCGGCGAGTGAGTTATTTTTCTGACTGTTTATGTGCATTGGAATTTGTGAGATAGTACCTGTAGTGATTTGTTCTCTGCGTTGTGGAATTAATCTGCGACAAACATTTCCTTTGCTTTCAGAACGCTTACAAGTTATTTCGGCACTATGACGGACAAGACATTTGACGTCAAGTTGATACCCGAGTTTGATGGTTCAGTGACTGAACAAGCAGTTACTGAATGGATTGAGAAGGCAGAACTTGTTTGTGACCTGTGTGGAATTAAAAAGGTTGAACGTGTTCTTCCTCTGAGGTTGACGGGCGGAGCATTTGCTGTATACCAACAGTTAAACTCAGAGCAAAATTCAGATGTCGAGCAGCTAAAACGAGCCCTGCGGATTGCCTTTGTACCAGATCGTTTCTTAGCTTACGAGTAATTTGCGGAACGCTGAGTGTGCCCAGACAAATCCGTCAACATGTTTCTAGCCAACTTGAAGATGCCCATGTAGAATAGCAAAATCTCTGGGGTGCACTTTAGAGTTTAACCCCCACCTTGGCATATATACGTTTTTATCCAAAGTGTCTTTTTCAGACACAGGCAAATAAACATGTCCAAAACATAACATTCAAAAACCAGCTACAGACATGTTTATGCGTCGATCTTGATTCTTTTTATGCCTTTCTGAGCTTGAAACAAGTCTGTACATCTGGTAGGGATGTTAGCCACTGCACGGGTACTTCGAAGTGCCTCAGTTTCTTAGTTATTATATTAAAAACAAATAAAAAATTTGCCTGGAAATGAAATGTTTTCCCAAAATAATTGGTGGGCAAGGGATTTATAATGGAAAATTAATCATGAATTTGAAAACGGGGGTGGGGATAATAAAGAAGTTTCCTGAAATAAGCATTTATTTTTATCCCTCATTTCCTGTTTAGGATTGGTATTCCGGTTCTTTCTGTCCTGGGTATGACATTAAACTGCATCCAACAGCAAGGCCTCTGATCAGGAGGTTTTGAGGAGTGTGGAACCGCCTCTTAATTGCTAGTGTTCCCTGGTCCACCCTGACCCAGGGTGGTAGCACCTGTTAGGGTCCCAGCTATGGGCAAATAGTGAACTCCCAGTTTTTTTCAGACCTTACCCACATCCTGGGTATGACGATAAAGTACATCTGCGTCCTGGGTATGGTGATAAAGTACATCAAACAGCAAGGCTTCTGATAATACGTTTTTGAAAAAATAATGTTGCCAGCTATACGTTTTTGAAAAAATAATGTTGCCAGCTATACGTTTTGGAAAAAATAATGTTGCCAGCTATACGTTTAATAGTACTATATATTTTATATATATATATATATATATATATATAAAACTTAATTTGGCATTAAATGACCTACAGTGGTTGATATGCCATAAAACCCAACCAACCAACCAGTTCTTCCTCACATCTTCTCATTATTTTTCACTCCTAGCGATCCAATGCATCTTAGTGTCATTATCTCCTGTCCTGTCATCTTAGTGTCATTATGTTTAATAAATTACACTTCTGTTAACTTGGGGTGCACTCGCCTGCCTTTCAGCGCACTTTAGTGTGCCCAGGTGCACCAGTCGAGAAACTCTGCCTCAGAGATTGGACTAATGAAGAAGACTTTGTCAATCGAATTGTGGTAACTGTGAAAAGCAGTGCTAAGTAGAATGAGGTTGGTCGTTAGACCAACTTTGGTAATATGAAAAATATTTTCTGCCTATCACAAAGATGAAAGATTATATTTTAGTAAATTTACAAACAAAAACTATGTTACTTCGATTTAAGATAAAAATAATTTTATTTCTGATTTTTGTTTTTTTTTTCTTTTTAGATTAACATTATGGAAGGGCAGACAACTTTATATGATCTAGTTGAAAGCCAGCCAGTCAAACGTCCTGAAACGTCATTTCTCATCTTCTCCAAGCAGATCAGACCAAAGAGTAAATAGACAAATTTTGTTCTCTTTTTTACAATGATATTCACCCTATATAAGGCTCGAGAACCACTCAAAGTAGAGGGTTACAGAGTAAGAAGCACGGTTTTTGTGGATATGTAGGGAAGATAACATTTGACCCTAGACTTGAACAGGTTAAGATTATAGTGATCGAGGAAAGCATCCTCTTGGGAGTAGGTTCCAAAAAGCAGCAGTTTGTGGGAAGTAGCTGCTCAAGTAAAACTTAGACCAATGGAATACAATTGTGGTTTGTTACAATATTTATGGCATGGCGGATCTTAGCTGTGAACATTAGAACTGGTAGAACTAAGCAATATAATTCGTGTGAACACTTTCCAAGGAAATAGTGCATTGAGTGAATTGTGATCTTGGAAAATAATTTCTCACCCATAAAGAAGCGGAGATTTTTTTTTTTTTTTTTTTTTTGGACTATGTCAAGACTGGAAAGTGAAGACCGGGCAGCTCCTTCCCACACATGGCACAAGTACTTCGTTTTCAGCTTGATCTGTCTCTTGTAAAGGTTGAGGATAGCAGGGGGTAGCGAGTCAGGTACTTTCTGGAATGGTAGAGGGAACCAACCATTTTTTTTTTTTTTTTTTTTTTTTTTTTTAGCATCTTTGGGTGGAGTGGACTGTACTCATTCCTCTGTCTTTGTATGGGGATTTCTCATGTAGTTCTTATTTTTAGTATTGTTCAGTTATTACTCACCCTGTACACACTGCCCAGACCAGAGATTGAACTCACAATTACTACATCACCAAATCCACAAAGTGAACTAACACTTTAATCTACTAAACTATTATAAGCCTCTCTCTTCCTGTACACGTCTCCTAGGCCGCATTGATCTAGTCTTGCTTTTTGTCGATGTGCAGTCACTCTCTTCAGACCCTGCTTGTTCCAATATTTCTTTCTTTGCACAGCTACGGGATAAGAAGTTATACAGCTTCCAAACTAGTTTAGGGTTTGGTGCCAGTATAAATTATCAATCGTCCAGTCTTGTATCTTCAAGTGTTGTGATTCTTTTTTTGGTTCACCACTGCTGTGGCCTGGTATTGAACTCACAACTCTTTAGGTTTAGTCACTGGATCTAACCAACACCTTTATCCACTAGAGTTGTGAGTTCAATACCAGGCTACAGCAGTCAGGAACAAAAACTTGGAGAGTTGAGTTAAAGAGAAATAATTGAGACACCCAGAAGAGGCGTGGTACGTGGAACTAGAACAATCTACCCCAGTGGACGAAATAAAGGGTTTGGTTTGAAATTCCAATCACCTGAAGAAGGCCGGGGCTTACAACGGTTGAAACGTTGTGAATATGGCAATGACGATGAGGATAACACTTTCCATTTATTAATTTCTTCGTTTGATCAAAGTAATATTGTGAATAATAATAATTACAATAATTTGTACTGAAAATACAAATTAAAATATGTATAATTAATACCAAAATTGATGATATTTTTACCTCACCATTTTCTAGGATGGACTGCTTTTTAAAGGAACCCAAACGAATTTATGGTCAGTCTAGTTCATATTACGTTTGTGTTCAGTCAAATTATTGTACCACTTGTTAGAAATCTACTGACGTAATCTCTCTCTGCATTACTTCTTTCTGTACCATAACACTAGTGTTGATGTGTCCGCTGATCTTTTCAGTTGTCCTTTTGTGAATTATTTTTTTTTTTTAAGTTATGGAAGAAAATCCTGATGCAGACTACAAGACCCTGTCTGAGCTCATTGTTAAAAAGTGGAAGTCCTTGACGGATGTGGAGAAAGCTGAGTTTAAGAATCTCTGCCAGAAAGATGTGAAAAGGTAATTGCTTTTCACTTACTGCACGTTTATCTGTGGGTATAATTCGTTAAGCTCAATAATCGGTATATATTATCAAGCATATTGATAATGAGGATATGCAATACACCAGATAAAAATGGTGAAGCCTGGACTGTAGAATTGGATATCTTGACAGGGTTTGAAAAGTTTCAGTGTCTCCAGGTACATTTTTGAACTGATCCACCCAAATGAACAGGCAAAGTCCTAAATAAAACTTTGATATGGTAAGCAGGGTTTGCGTTCTGATTTCTCAACGTGGTGTTTGTCTTTCATCTTGTTAACTTATGAACAGCAACTGGAGGCACCCCAAGGCAGTGTAATGATTAGCAAGCGTGTCTCGCTAGAGCACTTATGACTGAGTAGTGAGTTCGATCATCACTGGGTGCCCCCTACATTCGGCCTTGTGCCACATCTAAGCTACGCTTGGAAAATGGCTTTGGGCACCTCGAGGTGGTGTAATGGTTAGCATGCTTGTCTCGCTAGAACAATTACGAATGAGTAGTGAGTTCAATCCTCACTAGGTGCCCCTTACTTTCAGCCTTGTGCCACATCTATGCTACGCTTGGAAAATCACTATGAACAGCAACTGGCCTTTTCTCACCTTTCAGTGCACACTGGCAAGATCAAGAATTGAGATGAGATAAACATTTCCCAGTCGGTGGAAAGCTTGCCCGAAGGTCACGCTGTATGTTTACATCAGTAGGGGATCAGGGTTATAAATTTGATGTGAGAGCTTAAGTTTAAAATGAAACGAACAAATCACAGGATCCAGAAAGAAAATATAGGCCTAATGTCAAAAATCCCAATGTATGTAAAATGGCTAGAAATCAAATGCATTGTCCAACAGTCACACTAAAAGTGCTTCGATCATATTTATAAAAAAAAAAGTAGCGTCACACATGCATAGTGGGGTGGTTGCAAATGGCTGCCCCTTGTGACCACTCATGACAGTGTCGCTACCTTACAACGTCAGCCATATTGGATTTACCCACCAAACAGGTACATATGCCTGGCATGGCAACTGTATTCTCTCACTACAATCAGGTTTTCTACCTGTTCTTAATGAACTGTCTTTTAAGCATTTGTTTCTCTTATCCCATGACCCATAGGGTTGTAGAGGTACCATGTGTACTGCAACTGCAGTATAAGTCGTGTTTCTTAGGCAAGGTAGCCTGACTAAAGCCTAACCCTCTCCAGGTCTGTTTTGAATTCAAAGTTTTTCCTTCTCTTATTTTTTTTTATGGAAACATGGTGGAGTAAGGGTTAGCAGCTCAGATTAAGGAATCAGAGAGCTGGGTTCAAATTCCAGTCGGATCCATTACATTCACTTACATGCTAATACCCTTTGGAAAGGTATGAATCCTTCTCTTCTCCTCCCAACTATGGGTAAATAACAGAACAGACTGTGTTCTATAACCTTGGGTGGAAACCAGTCTTTTAAGATTTACTACTGGCTATAAAACTCCAGATACTTCAGTCTCAGATAAAATCATTCGCAGTCCTCTTTACTTCCCGAGTGTCCCACGCCATAGTTGCGTTCCGTTATGTCACGTCTGTTGTTTTCTCATTTTAGATACAAAGAACAAATGCAGTTGGCCAAGGAAAGAGCTGCTAACAAAATTCTGAATACCAAAACCAAAGTTTCTGCAGTAAGTGGAAATAAAAATCTTATTTACTTTGCTTAGTTTGGCATAAGGCATGTTTTACGGAGCCCTTTGGGCAATCAGGGATTTTTTTTTTGCTCCTCGTAGCATCTGTTTTATTCAGAGAGATGGGCAGTGCCATGTACTCTTGACTTTGCAAGATGTTTTAAAAGACAGCTTTTTCCCCTAGAACTGCAACAAACTCCTCTGTTCAATTTTGACCTCTTCAAGGGTCAGTGGTCATCTTTCCTCTTCATAATCTTCACTTCCTTCCACCTTCTCTTCAATTCACACGTCTTATTCACCATTACGATTCTGACTGTAACCCTCTACCTTGAGTGGCTCTCAAGTTTTGTACTGAGTGAAATTTGGTAAAAAAAAAATAAATAAATAAATAAAACTCCTATGATAACCTGATGAAACCCTAAACCAGAGGTTCCCAGCCTTTTTCTGGATCACACTCTAGCTATCATATGAAAGTCCTCAAGAAAATTTATATTAAATCGAGACCACCATCCTTATGCAAACAATATCTGGCTACTCTCATTTTCCCGAGCATACCCATTTGTCAGAAGAGCAAGCCAATCACTGTTCACAGATGCCTGCACATTTGCATTTGTTCAACAGCCACTGTTGTTTATATTGCAACTATGCTGAGTGGACCTTAGTTAAATTTTCTTTGAAAGAGTGCATTATCTGACATGATCAAAAGCCTGAACAAGGCCAGTCTGCTCAAAACCTCTGTCACGATGACTTGTGACTCTGTGCTAGCACAACCATCAACAGCTCTCAAAAAGTTTGTCAGTCCAATTTCACTTACAAAGCTTGGGCCAACCCATAGTATAGTTTTCAGGCACTTTCTGAAGGTGCCGTAGGGTGCTTCCGCCAGACCAATAACATCAAGAAGTCAGCTTCCTGACAAATCGACCATGGTGGGATTGGAACCTAGATTGCATGGATAGAAAGCGAATATTCTTACCACTCGGCCACATGTACATATATATATGTATCCCTATATACATAATGGCCAGTTATTTGATTTTGAGTCGGTTGGTTCGACTAGTCAATCCCTGTTGTAGACACTTGCTCAGGCTTGTTCACCTACAGAGTACACCTGTGGTTTATGCTGGAACTGTGCAGGGCAGTCCAGAGTTAAAGTTTCTGGAAGAGAGTGCATCATCTGGCATGATCAGCCATTTGAAAAACGCCAATGTACCCAACCCTTGGCTATGATGACTTGTAACGTCATGGCAGCTTCCAAACAGTTCTATTTGCTCAGTTCCGCTCACTAGGCTTTGGTCAACCTGTGGTGTATTCTCAGGCACTTTCCAAAGATGCCACACCCTCAAATTGCCTCCCCAGACCAATAACATCAGGAAATCACCATCCTAATATACTGACCATGATCTTATGGTCAGAAAGTGTACATATATATATAGGTGGAAAAATATACGGAAAAAACAGACAAAAATCCTAATATGCAATTATGTTGTTTTAATGTTAATATAATGTCAACGTCGGACGTTTCGGTCTAGTAGACCATCTTCAGGACATATTCATAAAACATAATTAACTACTCGACTGAAACGTCTGACGTTGACATTATATTAACATTAAAACAGCGTAATTGCATATTAGGATTTTTGTTTGTTTTTTTCCATATATTTTTCTTCATACTGTCGGATCTATATCCATATATTTGCTTACACACATATATATGTGTGTGTGTGTGATAAGATAAAGAAGAAATAGAAAAAGTTTATCACTACTAAGATCCGTCCTGTTTTTGATAATAAGCTACATCCAGCAGCAAGACCTTGGATTGAAATGTTTTTGAAGAGCGTGGAACCACCTCTTAATTGCTCCTGTTCCGAGATCCATCCTGACCCAGAGCGGTAACACCTGTTAGGGTCCCAGCTATGGTCAAATAGTAAACATTTCTTCTCTTGCACTTCTCGCTTGTGGAACTCCCTTCTTAGCTTCTTGCTTTCCTGTCAACTACGATCTTTAAAAATTGAAATGCAACATCAGTCGTCATTTTTGGTCCTCTTGAATTCTGTTCTTTTATTGTCCTTTCTATTCAATAATCCATTCTGGGTATGACGATAAGCTACATACGCACCCCGGGTAAGACGATAAACTACATCCAACAGCAAGGCCTCTGATCAGGAGGTTTTGAGGAGCATGGAACAACCTCTTAATTGCTGGTGTTCCCAGGTCTACCCTGACCTGGGGTGGTAGCACCTGTTAGGGTCCCAGCTATGGGCAAATAGTTAACCCCCCCAAAAAAAACTGGAGTCAAAATACTATGAAAGTGTAAAAATAGGTTTTAATACCAGCAATAAATTTTTGAAAAAGAAAAAAATATTACCCACAATACATTTTGGGAAAAATAAAACAAATATTACCAGCAATAAATTTTTGTAAAAGAAAAAAATATTACCAACAATACATTTTTGAAAAACAAAAAAAAAACAAATAGTACCAGCAATAAAATTTTGGAAAAAAAAACAAATATTACCAGCAATAAATTTTTGTAAAAGAAAAAAATATTACCAACAATACATTTTTGAAAAACAAAATAAAACAAAAAAAAAATAGTACCAGCAATAAATTTTTGAAAAAAAAACAAACAAATATTACCAGTAATACATTTGGGGGGGTGTATCATCAGCAATAAATTTTTGAAAAAATTTTGCAAGTATTAAATAGCCCATTGAGATTGATATGCTGTAAAACAAATCAAACTAAACCCTTTAATAATTGTTTTCTTGTTTTTTTTCACTCTCGGTAACTGCTTACATCATAGTGGATTTTATTGCCTTGCTTGGAGTGAAATGATTAAAACAAAATTCCTAAGATATGTTGTTCTGAATCATTTTTTTCTTTCCTTTCTTATGTATTTTTTTTTTTTTTTTTTAACCTTTTTTCCAGAAAGTAAAACCCGGGCATACGCCTGCCCGAGAAAAATTGCTGAAGACTTGCAAGGTGTCCATTCAGACACCCAACAAGCAACAACCTGTCAAAGTACAAACAGTACCCTTCAGTATGTCTCAATTAAAGGAGAAGCTATCTTGTGAATACAACTCAAGGTTTGATTCTTTTAATCATTTTTTTTTCTCTGTTGGATAATGTGTAATCTTTGATTTTTTTTTTTTTATCATGCAAATATATCAAAACTTTTGCTCCAATGATTGCATATATAGTGACTCAACAAATCCATTAACCTTTACCATGCTAAATTCTTTCTAGAATTGTTCTCCCTATCACTGCATATTATATGTTTTCTTTTTTTTTTTTATCTAACATTTGTTTGTTAGAAAAAAATGTCTCCAACTACTGAGACTGTTTTAGCTCTTTTTAACCTTTACCCTGCCAAATTCTTTCAAGAATTGCTCCCCATGCCACAACATTTTTTTGAGGTCACAAAAAACATGAACATCTACTGTTTTAAAATTGTTATAACTTTCTTTGTATTGTGCGTATAGATTTTACTTTTTGTATACTAATAAAAGAATGATTGAGTAATATTTTGATATAATGCATGTTTTGTATGCATGTTTTGATGTTGAAAACAAAAAAATTCAAACATGAAATAAAAAATGCAAAATAAAAGAACAAATATATTAAAAAATATGTAAATAATTCAACATGCTTTAACTTTTATTTACTCCTTGTGGCATTCTGGGAGTGCAATAAGAAACAAAATCGCTAAGAAAACTTTCATTTTGTCAAAAAAATGACATCGAGGAGACACAAGCATTTGTTTTCTCTTTTTTCACCTGACTCGTATTTGTTTGTCTCATTGACAAATAAAGTTATTATTTTGTCATTTATAAACAGACAAAATAATTCCCCTTTGAAAAGGCTATCAGTTATACTGATGGTTGCGCAATAGCTTCCAAAAAATTAGGCATGGATGATAGTAGCTGCTAGTGGCTATCATCACTTTCCTCCACATCGCTAGCGTGGGTATCGTCTTCGACCACTTCACCATCAATATTCACTTAAGTAAAGCCTTCAAAATCATCATCAGAGTCCTAATCAAAGAAAAACTCCTGAATAAATGCTTTGTTGGATATTTATGTGGCCATTTTTGTTTAAAAAAAAATCAAAAATGTTAATGTGAGTTTCATCATTGTTACACCTTGTGTAGAGCTAAGAAGAATTCAAAATGGCGTTGGAAAATGGAAGTTTAACCTTGTTCCAAAGCAGTAGTAGGTGATTTCCAGCTTGAAATACCGGAAATAACAATTGACAAGTGTTCATTTATAGCAATCATCTCAAGCCGACAGAATGCGCCTAGAGGAGCAAAGGGAAAAAATTCTATAGCAACTGTTGTTGCCTGCAAGTGAGGTAAAGGTTAATAAAGAAAGAGAATGACAGCAAAGCTTTAAGGACAGCAGCAGCCACTGTATAAAAGAGACACCTTGGTGAGTGCAGTTGAGCATGACAAACAACAGTACTCATCAGCAAGTGTGTTAGGTTTAATACTCCACGTTTTCCATCCAGGATTGTCCCAATAGCCTATTGGATGAGAGCATTGCTTTGAGAAATGGGTGACATAGTAATTGTAAATTTAATCACTTTGGCCGAGGAGTGTGTACTTGGGAACAGGGCAAGCAGTAACTGAGCAGTAGCAAATAAGAACAAGATGCGATATCCCTAGTCCTTTATAATGGAATGAGAACAATGTACAACCACAGATTAAATAAATGGTTCAGTTTGAAATTCCCTGAAGTTTTCCATGTTCAGCAAGCACTTGACGAAGGCCAGAGTTAAAAATGTTGTGACAGTAGCAACAAAAATAAGGACAGTAGTTCAAGTGTAAATAGTGTTAACTTCTTGTAAAAGAAATTAATGTAGAATCCTTGGGTTAAGTGCATTGACAAAGAAAGGGATCATGTTGAAAAATACCTTTGTTTGCCCCATCTGGCCCAGAGATTGAACTCCCAATTACAGTGTTGTTAAATTCATGAACCAACACTTGAATTGAGTATCAGGAGGTAGAAGAAGAGGATTAATACCTTTCCCAAGAGTATTAGCATGTAAGTGAATGTCATGGATTCAACTCAATCTGAGCCACTATTCACTACTGCACCATGCTTCCTGGGTTCTATAGCCTTGGATGGCAACTGATCCTGGAGAAGAACAACTCTGAATTCAAAACCTGCGTAGGTTTGTTTGTAGATCTTGTGGCACGTAGTGCACCAGGTCTCTGTATTTGGCACTTCAAAAAGTGTGATTGGTTCTGCACAAAGTCTTCACTACTATAATCAAATCATATGTGCTGGTGTCGGGCTTTCAGTTCCTAGGAACTGAGCTGCTTGACCCTCATATGTCAAATACGACAAGAGTTCACTGTGTGTGTGTGTGTATATATATATATATATATATATTTTCTAAAATGTCAGCCAATCTAACAGTGACCTCATCTCACAATCCTCACTCTTGCTTCATATGTGGCCTCCTTTGTAAATCACTAGCGGGTCTTAAATGCCACTTAAGAATATTGCACAAAATTTCCTAAATGAATTAATTAAGCTGTCAGATCCTTATACATTGAAACCGACGGGAGAGTCCATATTTTTATATATATATATATATATATATATATATATATATATATATATACACACACACTTTTTGAAAACAGTTAAATTTTCAGCCCAGAAAATTTTCAAGTAAAATTATTTAATGTTTTGAGTGTTTTTTTTTGTTTTTTTTATTATTATCAGCAGTCAGTGTAGTTGGACATCAGCTGACCGTCTTGTGCCAATTGGTTATCTGCCGTCTCGTGATGCCTGGGTTTGCCACCAAGGAGTCAAACTTGCTCTACTGAATTCCCACAGAGTTGATGAAGTCTTGATATATCAACGTCTCATGGAATCCTTTCAAGTTCTCGCGGACCCTCTGGAGAACCCAATCCTTCTTAATGACAAGTACTGTTTAAATGTCTTTGATTAGACATCATATTATAATTTTCCTTATTCCTTACTGCATTAGCTTGTATATTACATCCTGCCATTGCCTCAGATAAATAATGGACCATTAAATTTTGATTGTGAGGAAAAAAAACAGAAGAAAAAGATATCTAAGACACTTTCTGGTTTTAGTGAGAAAAAGAAGACAGAGGATGTTATAATGTTCTCATGTGTTTAATGTCTGTTTCAGTGCAATGGAAACCTTTGTTAATTTTGAATATTTTCATTTGTACCCTCTTACTTCTTTAAATAATGACCTAAATGTCAAATATTTAATAGGGTTGTGTTAGTGGCCAGACATTTAATGGGGTTGTGTTAATGGCCAGGCATTTAATGGGGTTGTGTTAATGGCCAGACATTTAATGGGGTTGTGTTAGTGGCCAGATATTTAATGATGCAATAGTTTCCATGCTTATTTTAAAGTGGTATAACTTGCCTGGAGCTTATTGCGTCATTAACTTAAGAATTTTGATTCTACCTAAGGGAGGTGGCTTATATTTTTCATATGAGGGAATGAGTTTTTTTGTTTTTATTTTTGTATTTATTCACACATTTATTTATTTATTTTTTAGATTACCTGGAGGGGAAAGAATTTGGAAAACATTAATGTCTTTGAAACGTGAAAATCATGCAACATCTTCCCACCAGGTTGTGGCTGATGAACGATTGCTGTCCAATGGTTTCCGTGTCGCAATTTATGATGGTCAGTGAAGGCTTCTTTTATCATTATTTAATATTTGTCATCTATCTATTTTTACTCTAATATGATTTACATTTTAGCTTGCATGCATAGGTAGATGAGTTTGTTTGGTGGCCGGGATTGTTGCCGATTTTCCCAAATCAAAGATGTTATTGTTCTTGAGAGTCAAATTTGTTGAGAAATTAGAACATCATCACTTGTTATATTCAATCCTACAATCTGAAACAGTTTGGAGAAAAGTAACTTTATGTGAAGTTTAATTCAAGCTGAAATAAAATATAAACCTCGACCAAGTTTTCTCTGACATATATTTATCTCCTCTCTCTATCCCTGTCTATTCCCCCATCTCCCTTTCTTTCTTTTGTTCTCTCTTTTGTTCTCTCTTTCTTTCTTTTGTTCTCTCTTTTGTTCTCTCTTTCTTTCTTTTGTTCTCTCTTTTGTTCTCTCTTTCTTTCTTTTGTTCTCTCTTTTGTTCTATCTTTTGTTCTCTCTTTCTTTCATTCGTTCTTTCTTTCTTTCATTCGTTCGTTCTTTCTTTCTTTCTTTCTTTCGTTCTTTCGTTCATTCTTTCTTTCTTTCTAGTTGTATATCTTTTCATGGCTACTTCCTATCACTCCTTTTGCTTTTATCAGAGTTCGCAGAAAGAGGGAAAGAAGGTGTTTGCTTTGTAGTTTGTCAGTGCGCTAGTTTTTAGTGTGTGGGTGTGAAAGGAGTCATGACTTCTGGGCATCTCATGTCAACATTTTGTACACTGCCCCACAAAAAGAAAACTGTGTTTATATATATATATATATATATATATATATATATATATATATATATATATTTTGATTTAAAAATATAGTTATTTACGCTACACAGTTCCAACCATGTTTCAAAAATAGAAGCTAAAAACCCCTTTTTATTTTTTGTTTTTAAAAGCATTAGTTCCATTTCATCTTCAAGTGTTTTTCTTCTATTTTGAAACATGGAACTGTGTAGAAAATGTATATTTTTAAATCAAAATTTATAATGGTCATTGAAGGCTTACATTGATCACTATTTTTGCAAAAAGAAATATCTATAAGAACATTTTATATCTTCTATGTTCTTTTTTTTTATTTATATATAAAAATATATATATATATAATATATATATAAAATTTTTATTAAAGATGACAGACATTACTATATTAAGCTTTTCATTTAGTTTTTCTTGTGTTCGACAAAGTGTTTTCTTTTCTGGACACAGAGTGTGTAGAAACTGTACAAATTTATGATGGTCATTGAAGGCTTCTTTTATCATTAATTTTTGCAGAAGTCATCTATGTATTTTTACTCCAATATAAAAAAAACCCCCAAAATATTTAAAATTCTCAGCATTCTCTATCCTTCATCCCCATGTGTAATCACATCAATGTAAACGTCACTTTAAAACTTTCTATTATGTCAAAATTGACAGCAGGAAGTAATGTATTATAAGTAATACTAGCAGTAGCCCGGGGATGTAACAGTAAGAGATAGATCAAGTATCGATCATCATAAAGACTGAAAAATAAAATTGACAAAGATTATTGTTTAAGGTTGACGGACACGCATGTCTTAATTAGTTTTTTTTTTTTTACGAATTGGTCAAACTCAAACAAAAACATTGTTTTCAATCGTTATGAGTCTACCGATTGAATAGAATTTTATTATAAACAATTGTCTTGTAAATGGAATTTTTAAAGCATTCTGAATGTAAAAATAAAGAAAAAAGTGTGCAAGACAATAAGAAACACTACCTGCCCAAAAAGTGAAGTTTTGTTGAAATCGGGTGAAAAATGTAGGAAACCCGATCCCATATACAAACGAACACACACACACACACAAAGAACCAACCTGGGTTTTATAATAAGTTTAACTTGATAACTCAATATTAATAAGTATATCTCGATATGAGTTGTCCCCCTTTCATTAATGCCTCTTAATCGCGTTTTCAAATTGATTTCGTGCAAAAACAAAAGTGTTTTTCCATTTTTTGGCACTGTCAGAACCACCGCAAAGTAATTTTACGTAGTCCTGTGAAGTTTTGTTGAAATCAGTTGAAAAATGTAGGAAATCCGATCCAATATATAAACGTAGACACACACACACACACACACAAAATCTGCGTTTTATAATAAGTAAGATAAGATGTATTATCTTATAAGTAATTTTCATTTAATCCAAGTGCATTTTTGTAATTTAAAATAGTTGTTAACATTAATAATTGGACAGTGTACAATTTATAAACACCTCAGGAAAGATATCTGTATTTTATCCTCATGTGTGTGTTTGTGTGTAACTTTTGTATACGTACTTTTGTGACACACCTTGGGTGTTCTTGAGAATCAAATTTGCTGAAAAATTAAAACATCATTTTTTGTGATATTCGATCCTATAATCAAAGACACCTTGAAGAAAAGTAACTTTATGTGAAGTTTAATTCAAGCTGAAATAAAATATAAACCTTGGCCAAGTTTTGTCTGACTGATTTAGCTTCTCTCTCTATCCCTGTCTATTTCTCCCCTCGCTCTCTTTCTTTCTTTCATTCTTTTTTTTCTTTGTAGTTGTGTATCTTTTTGTGGCTACTTTCCAGCACTTCATTCACTTTGATCAGAGTACACAGAGAGAGGGAAAGAAGGGGGTTACTTTGTAGTTTGTTAGTCCATTTTTTGCGAGTGGACGTAAATGGAGTGATGAATTCTGTGCATCTAATTTTGTATATTGCTGCACAAAAGAAAACTTATATATACACACACACACACACATACATGTCTCATTAAAGATGACAGACAAGTTACTAAATTTAAGCTTTTTATTTATTTTTTCTTGTGTTTGAACAAGTGTTTTCTTTTCTGGACACAGTGTGTAGAAACTGCCCAAATGTTCTGTAATTCTGAGTGCTTCTGGCTATGCTTTTAGCCATTATCAAGGTATGATTTTATTTTTGCTTTTTACTGGGTGTATGGGTTGTGTGTATGTTTCTATAGTTATAGGGATGTTTTATTTTCTGAACACAGTCAGCACTTTGTGGCCATGTTTGGAATTAGAGAATATTTGGACTCTTTCTACACAGAAAAATAAAGCGCCTAATCGTAGTACCTGGTCTGTGGTTTTTAATGAAACACGTATAAATGAAAGATTGCTGCCTAAATAAACGATATGTATATATAATAATAATAATAATAATAAAAAGAAAGAACAGTAAGATATATAATCCAGTGTTCTTATTGATATTTTTATAAAACAGTGCTCAATGTAAATTTACAGAGCATAAATATTATAAATTAACTGATTTAAAATATGGTTTCTTTGCTACATAGGAATTACCATGTTTCAAAAACAGAAGCTAAAAACTTCAAATTTAATTATATAATTAAATTAAAAGCATTAGTTCTGTTTCATCTTCAAGCAAATTTGGGAATAACTTAATTTTAAACTTACTGAGTTTTAAATGCACATACAACTCATAATTTTTTGTTTCCAAGGGTACAGAGAAATCCAATCATTTAGACAGGGATGGTAGCATGTTCACTTTTTCTAACTATTATTGTATCAATTATGTGTAATGTTTGAAAAAGAGAGGGAGGGTAGGGGTGCATTTTTCAATGAATTTTGACATCCGTTCAACGCATGTCATCTGTTTTTTTTATCAATGACAAAAAGTTTTTCGGCATTATTTTCCGTTAAATATATGGCTATTATATTTAAGCACCATGTCTTCATTCCAACTTGTTTCATTCAATAATATAGACATATTGTGTCTATTTAAATTTATTCTGATCCATTCCAGCAATTTAATCAGTTTCTTGACATTAAGATGAATTTCCTAAAGGAAGGCGTTATAGTTTGTTATTTTTTTTTTTTAACTCAAGTACTTTTGATATTTTCAAAGATCATCTTCAGGGGCAAATTATAATGATTGCAACTCTGATAAAATCTGTATTCCATTGAGATGGTGATTTTTAAAAAACCTGCATGAACACCGTGTGGTGAACAGCCCCGTAGAAGCAAGTGAGCCAGAGTGGCTTGCATCTGGTGCATAGGAAAATAAGGGTCTTACCTCAACGTATGGCACATGACATCAGCAAGTTTGCTCCTTGGAAATGGCATTACTCTGCCGTCTTGCAATTCCAGCAGTATGTCCAGTAACAAGGGTTTTTGTACAGTTTGGCATGCTTCTACCAATAACAAGTCGTGTGCTGATTGATTAAACTGGAGGAGGCTATTTACCTGGTTAACTGAGAATAAAAGCGAAGAACGCTGATTGATTGGTGGACCGCGGTGTTGGCCTGATAAAAGAGGATGAAAGCAGTGAGAAGGAGGGACGGATTTGACATTTTGAAGTGTTCGGAAAGCAAGAACGACAGATTGAACTAGCGGTATCATGAATCGTACAAGTGACGTCTTAATAATAGAGACTCATTTAAACAACAGTTATAGTAATTTTAGAATTTTAAATTTATCTGTTGTAGTTATGGAATTTAATTTATAAAAATGACTATAACAAAGCATGTGGTCAGGGTGGACCTGGGAACAACTGCAATTAATAATGGTTTCATGCTCTTCAATACCTCTTAAGCAGGGTCCTTATTGGCAGATGTAGTTTATTGTCGCACCCAGGAATATTCAAGGCAAAGACAATTGGTAGATTTGCTTAGTAAATCTAATACTGACATTACCATGATAATTGCAAATAGACAGTAACAATATGTGGAAAGCCAAGGTATCAAGAGGCATAAAAGCTCATCTAAAATAACAATGTCTGCTAGTAAAAAAAATAATTCTTTTTGTCTCACCATTTACATCTTTCTTGCAGATAAGTCCAACTTGTCAGAAGCATCTCAGGTCGAAGTAACTGGCCTCACTTCCTGCGTTCCGATGTATGGGATCAAAGACCTCCATGAAGTCTTAGAAAATATTGCTACAATAGGACCATCCACGTCTTTGATGCAGTGTCGCCCGCTGAAGATTGTCAATTACTTAAAGGTTAGTATCTCTTGGGATGTGCGGATGGTGTAATGGTTTAGAGTCTTGGAAAGAGAGATCAGTAAGCTCTTCAATTTCTGTTGAGTTTGCTACATTCACTTTCCTTTAAATATCCTTGGTAAAGCGATGAATCTCTTCTTCACTAGCCAAGCCCTGGATTAAATAGCAAAGCAGACTGAGCTGTCTTGCCTTGATGCTGTGGTGACCTGTCTAGAAAAAGAACATGCTGTGACCCTACAATCTAAATGGGTTATGGGACATACAAATATCTTACTTGAAGCTTTCTAATCATGTATTTGTTATTGGCATGGAACATAGCTTTTCTGAATTAATAGATTGTGATCTTTATCTATAAAAGGCAGGATGTGTGTGTGTGTGTGTGTGTGTGTAACAAATGCACAGCCACAATTTTTAACGGATTTGCACCAAAATTTACATGCACATGCTCCAAGTTAGCAGGAAGGCAAAGACTGACTTTGCATTTCCCAACTCTCATCGATAGTGGAAATAATAGTTTTCATGTAGTTTGCGGCCATTTTGTACTGGCCAGAGTGAGAGCCTATAACTGGCTCCCACAGTGAAAAAGTATTTGTTGTTAACATTCTTTTTTCATTTGGTTTTTCCAGTTACGAGTCCTTTTTTTAAAGCTGATCGTTTTGTGTTCATTTTGTTTAGTTCTTTTTTCGTAACAGATTTAATGTTTAGTATAGAGCTTAAAAAAAATTTGCAGTGTGAGATAAGCAAGAAGTAAGGCATGTAGCAACATCAGCATGGCAAAGGGCACTCCTTTAAAGGCAAGGAAGGGCAAAAATATTTTAAGTCAAGTGATAGCGATTGCTGTATGAGTTGTACGATTTTTGAATCAAGCACGGGCAACGCCGGGCCATGCTGCTAGTAGCTATTAAGAGATGTGATTAAATATACTTTAATGTTTAAAAAAAATTTATTCAGTATTGTTTAGGTAATAAACTTTATAACCTAGAGTGATACTATTTGTTGTTGCTGCAGCAAATCAGAAGAAAGTTTTGTTAAAGCATAAAGTGTTATGTGCTGTGAGACATTGAAACGAGAAGTGTTAATACCAATAATCCATGGGAAGAATTGAGGATTTAATTCACACATAAACGACTTGAATTGTATGTCGAGCAACTTGAACACACAGCTGCAAATGCAGGCTGAAAAGTGAAAAACTAAATTTTGTAAACTGAATTTGGGACTGTGTTTTCCTGGACGGAAGGTGGTCAAGGTAGCAGGCACAGATAAGACATCAAGGAGGGTGGAGGAACCACCCATGTTTCCTGAAGAGGTCAGTGAGAGATGATAATAAAATAGGATATGAGAGGAAATTCCCCAAAGTTATTACGTAAGCTGGAGGGAATTCACTGAAATGCTCCTACCTTGTCATACACCCCCTTGCCAGTTTGGGCAAATGTCTATAAAGACAAGTTGCAGACAAGATGGCAGAGAGTTCATCATAGCCACTGGTTGTGATATGTCCCATGTGATTGCCTGCTGAAGAGAACCTCCCGATTTCAGCCTTGTGCCAAACTTTACCAAGGACACCAAACCAGATTTTGCCAGGTCAACAATAATATCACTTTCGATTTAGATGCGGGTTGGGCTGATAATTAATTGAATCTCTTAACTCTGATATAAACCAGTTATTGTAATTATTGACTGATATAAAAACAGTATTTATTTTTGTTCAATTTATTTGTGTGTTATTTTTTTTTTCCTGTACATCTTCGCCCTGCTTGGACCCACCCAACACAAAGATAACTGCAACGATTTGATCTTGGCTGATATGATCAATCTTAAATCACAATGGGGGAATAAAGTTAGCTCAGAATTGAAGCGGTCATTTCAGTGACCAGTCATGGTGTTAAAGTCTTGGACGACCGGGGAGGGTGTTGTGCGATTAAAATAGCATGAATAGTTATATTGTGGAAAAATAAGTGAAATTATCTGAAAATACAATTTAAGCATCAAGTTCAGTGATGTGTTTGCTAGATTAAAAGGAGGACTTGAAAATACATCTAGTGAAACAATTAACCATTGTATGCAAAAAAAATCTATAAAATGGTTAATTTATATTATGAGGACATAAAAAAAAAACGAAGATGTATCTAAAGATATTTGATTCAGATCTCTCTACGAATAGTGATTCTGACTCTTCTGGTTTTTAATTTTTTTTTTTTTTTAGGATTTTAGTAATATGAGTTAGTTTTATTTTCTATTATTAATTTAATTTCCATTTTGTAAAATACATCTATTGGATGCTTTAGTACACACCATCAGTGAGGTTTCTAGCCAAGGTTCATTAGGGGTTTCAGGTCTTTCAATATCATACCCCCTCTCCATCGTGACACAGCCAATACTGATCACTAATTATATATATATATATATATATATATATATATATATATATATAGGCTCTACTTTTATATCGAGCATTGTTTTTTAAAAATAATAGCAAAGATACTAAAGAACTTTTGGATTATTTACCTAACGAGTTCTTTTCCTATTTTCTATATATTTTCACACACACACACATATATATATATATATATATATATATATATATATATATATATATATATAGGGGTTTTGGGTCATTAGGTGTATGATGTTCATAAGCATCATACCCCTCCCACACTGACCCAGCTGATAGTGATCAGGTATCGACTTGTGTACCTTTTGTTAGATACAGTTTTTCTCATCTTTATAAGTACCCACAGCAACTCCCTTTAGCCATTTATAGCCCACTCCCAGATAAATTCCAGTTCGCCAGCAATGTCCACTGTTCCATGAAAAAGGAAGCAAACGCACATACAATTTCTATATAGTCAGAAACATGGCACCATACTCGGCTTGAAGTGGTAAGTAACAAATTATACATTAATTACTAATTTTTTTTAATTATTAACTATTTGTGCTCAATTGCTGGTATTAATAGCTATCTGCTGATGTTAAAATTTTGGAATAATGCAGTAATAAAAATTTAAATTTCATCTCTCTGATAGATTTTGCGATCTGTAAGTTAAAATTCTCAGGGACTGTTATGTACCATGTGATTGTACATGCTTAGGCAATCATGTATCTTTTGATACATGACTGACGAGACAGATTTTTTCCTGCAGTAGGTTGCCATTTCTTTCTGCAGTAGATTAGTTGCCATCCAAGGCTATAGAACCCAGCCTGTCTTGATATTTACTCATAGAGTGGGGGAGAAGAGGAGGATTCATACCTTTCCCAAGGGTTTTAGCATGTAAGTGAATGTAATGGGTTTGACTGGAATTCGAACTTTGCTCTCTGATTTTTTAATCTGAGCTATTATCAATTTCTCCACCATGCCACCCCCTCACAGAGACTATATTTTCTTGATGTACATATCTTTAGGAAGGCTATACAACAAATTCTGTTCCAAAAAAGGCTACGTCATCTTCAACAAGAGCACCACTCTATTTGCCACCTACATACCGTAAGAATGTGCCTTTTCTAAAAATCCTAAGTTGCAGTGTTATTGGTCCTGACCTGGCATCTCAGCTTCAGTCACTTTTTTCTGCCATAATGTGCCTTCCCTCTGCCTTTTCTACAAATACTTTCATGATAATTATTCTGATGAACTTTCCTCTATGGTACCTTGACTTTATGAATTGAAGTGCAGTACTAGATTGGCAGTTAGGTCTCATTATTTTACAGTTGGAATGGCTAGATGTAACCGTAAGTTCTGTGCTAACAGTTTCTTTACTCGTATTTCTCATGCTGGTAACTCTCCTCCGACTTCTTGCTTTCCAGTCAACTTTGATTTTCAAAAATTTAAATCCTACGTTCTTACTTTCCATTCTTATATTGTTCTCTGTCCTTAATGTTTCTCTTTTTCTTATATTCTTTCAAACGTTGTACCCCTTCGCATCTTTGTGGCTTTGTTGTCATACTTGGGGCGAGATAACTAAAAAATGTATTATTTTTCTACCAATCCATGGCCTGTTTTTATTTCCCAAACTATGTCAAAATCCATTTGTAAAAATATTCTGGTCCCCTGCCTATCTTAGTTCAATGATTTATAAATTAAAAACGTCAGTGTGTTACTGAATATACTGACAGAACTAATTCAAATCTCTTGCAGACTAGGATTGATCAGGACATAAGAACTAAAATCCATTGAGGGCAAAAAAAAGATAAATTGGATGTATTTTGGTGCATGTTTAATTATAAGTATTATATGTAAGTCATTTTTTTTTTTTGTTTTGTTTTAGTCTGAGGCTGTTCGCATGGCACGAAGCTCGCCCTCTTTCTCATCCAGGGACGACATAATGGATCTTCTCGACAGAATTGGTAAAGCACGGAAGTGGAAATGCCTTCATGATCGGCCATTCCTTCATGATATTTACAACCTCAGTGACCTGCCTTTCTCACAGGAGAGCGTGATGGAGAGTCAACAATCCATAGGCTGATAATTAAGTATCTGGAAGAAAAAAAACGTCTCTAGCATGTTTGGTCAACTGAGCAGGCGGCTTCACCATTAATATTCAGTCTTGGGTTTTAATTCTGGAAGAAAAGAGATTCACTTTTTCATTAAAGATTTTCTATTTTGATCATAGTTATTTCTTTTTGAATAAATTATTTTTCACAGAAATGTTATGATTTTTTTTTTAACAGTTTGATTCCTATGTTTTTGCCTCAACAAATTCCCGTCTCTCTCTGACCGTTCATGTCGCTCTCCCTTTTTCTCTGGCCATATTCCTATCGCTCTCCCTTTCTCTCTCTGGCCATTCCCGTCGCTCTCCCTTTCTCTCTGGCCATTCCTGTCGCTCTCCCTTTCTATCTCTCGCTGTAACCATCACTCTCTTGCTCTCTCTATCTGACCGTTCCCGTCGCTCTCTCAATCCTCTCTCTCTCTCTGGCCGTTCCCCTCTCAAACTCTCTCTCTCTCTCTCTCCCTTTCTCTCTAGGTTAATCGTTCTCTCTAGCTGTTCCCATCTCTCTTGATCTCTCTTTACATCTCTCAAATACGAAGGGAATCTGGTGGTTCCCGCTCTCTCATGCTCTCTCTCTCTCTCTCTCTTTCTCTCTGACCATTCCAATCTCCTCGCTCTCCCTTCTCTCTCTCTCTCGTTCCTGTCGCTCTCCAATCTCTCTCTCTCTGATCGTTCCCGTCGCTCTCTCATCTCTCTCTCTCTCTCTGGCCCGTTCCCGGTCGAAAATCCTTGTCTCTCTCTCTCTCTCTCTCTCTCCTCTTTATCTCTGACCCGTTCATAATGAAACTTTCGTCTGACAAAAGCCCTTTCTCTCTGAATTTCCCATCACTTTTTGCTCTCTCTATCTGACCGTTCCCGTCGCTCTCAATCCTCTCTCTCTCTCTGGCCGTTCCCGTCATCTTTCTCTCTCTCCGTCTCTCTCTCTCTCTCTCTCTCTCTGGCCGTTCCCGTCGCTCTCTCACTCTCTCTCTCTCTCTCTGGCCGTTCCCGTCGCTCTCTCACTCTCTCTCTCTCTCTCTCTCTCTCTCTCTCTCTTTTTCTCTCTGACCGTTCATGTCGCTCTCCCTCTCTCTCTCTCTCTGGCTGTTCCCGTCGCTCTCTCTCTCTCTCTGGCCGTTCCCCTCACTCTCTCTCTCTGGCCGTTCCCGTCGCTCTCTCGCTCTCTCTCTCTCTCTCTCTCTCTGACCGTTCTCGTCGCTCTCCCTTTCTCTCTCTCTGGCCATTCCTGTCGCTCTCCCTCTCTCTCTCTCTGATCGTTCCCGTCGCTCTCTCGCTCTCTCACTCTCTCTCTCTGGCCGTTCCCGTCGCTCTGTCACTCACTCTCTCTCTCTATCTCTGACCGTTCCTGTCGCTCTCCCTTTCTCTCTCTGGCCGTTCCCGTCGCTCTCCCTTATTAAAGGTTTTAACTTTGCGTTTCGTCGCAATTGCAATTGATATCCGTCTAATTAAAACTTAAGTGGCGCACGGTACGTTGCTCATGTTTTTTTTGTTTTTTTTTCTAGTTCGCGTACTATGATGTATTCAAAATGTTACAGAGTTCTGGTCCCCTAATATCTTTTAAGAGTGACTTTCTGTGAAGGGATCATAAAGAATGGTGGTTTTTAAAAGAAAATAGAAATTGTGTACAAAATAAATGTAAACAAACTATGAAGATTGGTTGCATACAGTGGGCTATGACAAGTTTTTTAGCGACCCTTAATTACAGTAATTTTGGCTGGTGTAATAACGTTTGTTTTGTTTTTTCGGACAATACCGCTACTCTAACCTATGAACGATAGTTGACATATTTTGCAATGAAAGTTCGGGGAAATTAGTGAATTTCAACAAGGGCAAATAATAGGATGGCATCAGTGTGGCAAGTCAAATAGTGAAATTGCTAGGTGTGTCCAGATTAATCATCAAACAGTTAATAATATTGTATAAGAAATTTAATGAAGGCCATCATCGTTTGGAAAAACGTTCAGGAAGACTTTTGAACGAAAAGGACACTGAAGATGTACGTCAGCAGAAACCGTCTTCAGAGTGTCAAAGATGTCAACGGCATGGAAATGCCGCCATATGCAGCAAGAATGACTCTGAAAGAGCTAGGCTATCAAAGAAGAGTTGCAAGAAAGACGCCCTTGATTTCAGAGGTTAACAGGAACCGTATGGACTTGGCTAGAGAATTCGAGAGCAAAGATTATGCATTTTGGCAGTCTAATTTGATCAGATGAAAGTAAATTCTGCCAATATTCGAATTCGAGACAGGTTTATATTTGGAGAAATCAAAATGAGAATTGAAACACTGAATATCTGCAGGCAACAATGAAACATGGAGGGATTGGAGTAATGGTGTGGGACGTTGTCTGATTTGGAGTGAAATCTGAGCTGATTCTTGTTGACGAGCGGGTGAATGGTAAAAAATATTGTCAAATATTAAAGAAAGGACTACTCCCATTATTTGAAACCAATCAGATTGACATTTTCAAGAAGATGGAGCGCCCTGTCATACGAGCAAAGTAGAAAAGGCCTAGAAGGAATCGCAAGGAATCAAGTCACTGCGATGGGTAGCCCAAAATCCTGACATGGATCAGTAGAACACGTTTGGGAGCACCTTAACCGAAAACTTCGAGAGCATGCAACCAAAATCACGTCAGTGGCAACCCTTAAAGAAACATTGCTAAAGAAGTAGCAAAACATGGATCAGACGATTGTTGATAACTTGATCAAATCCATGAAAAATCCAATACAAGCACTGAAACTAGCAAATGGAGGACCTACTCTATACTAGTTTCAAATACTGGTTATTTATGTTGAGTAGGGATTACGTAATTAAATTTTGAAATTGGATGTAGTTTAATTATTCTGGCTAAAAACTTTTCTTAGGACACTGTATAGGAAGAAAGATTATGGCGAATTAAGGTGTCGAATAAAGATAAAGTAATTTTATTACTTTTAAATGTTATAACTTTTGCCGACATAGCACGCTGAAGGTAAAATGCCGAAGACGCAAACTCCCTCCAGAGGAGCTATCCTAAAATCCGCCCCAAGGGCGTTTTATGGGATAGTTTAAAATAATTTAAAAAACACCATGAAATGTGTATTTAATGTATAATCTTACTTGCTTTTTCCCTTTATTATTGCTGCTATTTCCTTCGTCATCACTTTTTGGTGCTGATTGAGTGTGGGGCAATTTACAATGAATTCACATTGCAAACTGAACACCCTTTTAAAATTTAGAATATAAAAAAATAAATAAATAAATAAACAAAATCCATGATGTGGAGTGCTTAAGAGAGGACAATATGGGGAAAAAATTGTTTTAAAAAAAAAAAAGGAAGAAATTATTTCTTTGAGAGGAGCGCTTCTGCGGAAAAGCTCAGTCATCTGCCTCGTCGCATTGATTTTGTCTGTTGGATATTTTTTTTACATTTCATTGTCAGTTTAAGCTTTATGGAAATCTTTCCATTGAGGTGTCTGAATGATGCGATTTTATTTTATTTTCTTAAGAAAAAAAATCTAGATGCTGTCTGGAAAGTCTGTTCATGGAATCCTCAGATCTGTGTTTTTTTGTTTTCTTCTGATTCAGACATGTTACCTCTTTCATTACAGCCCGCAAGTTTTCGCTACCTTCGGGCGTTCTGATTGTTGAAAGTCTTTCATAATGTGAACTGCTTTCAACAAATTCTCACCTGCAGTAAAATTTTTCTTTTCCTTTTTATTTCTATAAGTATTTTAAAATAGATTCAAGATTTCAATAAACATGACCAATAAGAAATAATCTTAAAAAATAATAATTTAAAAAAAAAAAGCCAATGTTTTTTGTTTTTTTTCTTCTCTTTTCGTCTCTGTGGCGATACCAGTATTTTTTTTTTTTTCCTTTTCTAATGAACAACTTACTTGTGGCAAGATCAATCGCTATTGGTCATCAATGGAAAAATTTATTACTACCAACAAAAAAAAAATGTAACTACTAGCTAACACCGACAAATTTTCAAGTATTCATACAAGAATCTGGTCTGGAGTTTGCTCATTGCCAGCAATCATAATCATTTGAAGATTTTTTTGCGGACAAATGTTGCAGTATCAAGTAAATATTGTTCGCTTTAATTATTTATTTATTTTTTACGTCTTTTAAATTTTTTATTTCTATCTTTTTTTTTTTTTTTTTTTTTTTTTGCCGTGACTTCACTCTCCAATGCTAGCCAAACTGAGGCAAGATCGATAACTCGTGCAATAATTATACTAAGTTACCTCCCTTGAAATATCAAATTAAATAATTTTTCTCCTGATTTATCTTCCTTTACATAAACTGACCAAGAAGAGAATTATCGCCAAGTTAAAAGAAGGAAGGACGCTGAGAAGAAATTAGAAACAATTGAAAATAAAACATTAATCTCTTCAGTGTTATTTCAGTCGCACATAAGTATCTTTCTTGTTTGCAAGGTGTATCCAAAATTGTGGACGAAGGAGAAGAGATTATTGTTATTACGGGAAAATTATGTCATAAGTGGGAAAAAAAAATTTAATTGTTTTGAAAAAGAAGAAAATCCAATTAATTTTAGTCCAGAAAAATAAAATAAAATTTGAAAAAAAAAAACTAAATAAAAGGAAGAAGGGAGTTAAATACAACATTATTATTATTTTATTTTTGTTTTGAGGTGCTGAAAATTCCTGTTCCCAAAATCTAACCAAACATCGGATTTTTTTCTCTCAGTATGTTTGAGCAATTTTCAGCACCCACTTTTTTAGTCAAGAACGTAAATCAAATTCACGTCTGTAATATTCATTCATTTATTTATTTCTCTCATATATATATATATATATATATATATATAACATCAGAAAGAAGCAGTTACTTCAGTAATCAGACGTTGGAGGCGAGCTGGGAACGACAAAGCTGATACCGAATCTAACCAGATTCCCATCCGAATCAGCCATGGTTTTGAACATCACATTTGGCGCCGCGACCAATACCAAGTCACATTGGTCGTCACAGGATAGCACCGGGGAAAGAGAGGCACGGGGTGAACTAATTAGTAATGTTAATGGGATTAATGGTGGAATCACTTCGACAACAAGACTTAAAGAGACATTAACTTACTAAGAATTCCTTGAATAACGAATTGTCAGCTTCTGGATGTAACATTTCCATTTATTGGTAAACACCAAGACAATAAATAAATGTAGTGTAGACTGAAAGATATTTTTAAAAAATATGCTATTTATTGACAATTATATTATTTTGGAACGTGGGAAGCTTCAACGCTAGAGTCCTTGTTTAAAAGATTCAAGTGAGAATTTTGTTTCAAATTAGTAATGTGATAAATCCACGACTTTTTTGTGGTACGTGTTTTTGTTGTACGTTAAAGTGACATGGACTAAAGTATAGTCCAATTAACAGAATAAAATGTCTTAGTAGTTTTTTTCCACAGAATTTTAGATTCTGAATGTACCGCAGATCTAAATTTCCGTGAATATATTAAATTGTGCAGTATATATAAGATGACAATTTGAAATTGTCGAAAGTACTCGGCCCAGAATCATTACTTCCATCTGTCAACAATTCAATCTGTCAATTTATTCAACGAATTGATAGTAAGTTAATGTTTCATTATGTCTTGTTAGTGGAGTGATTTCGCCATTAATCACATTAACATTGCTAATTAATTCTTTGTATAATTAATTTTTTTATATATATATATATATATATATATATATATATATATATATATATATATATAACGTTTTTAGATTTAACGTTCTTTTATAGATACAAGTATTTAAATAAATGCGTCTGTTTATAATAAACAGTATTAAATAACATTGACTCCTGAATGTCCAAAGGAATTTTCATAGAAAATATTCGTCCTTTGACAGGATTCGAACCTGCATCCTATACGGAACCATCATTTTACGCTATACGTACCTTAACCGTCGGCCACAATAAATAACAGTTCCGTATAGGATTTATATCATATCATATATTTTCTATACATATATATATATATATATATATATATATATATTTATTATAAATATATATATACATATATATATATATATATATATATATATATACATATATATATATATATATATATATATATATATATATATATATATATATACATATATATATATATATATATATATATATATATATATATATATATATATACATATATACATATATATATATGTATATATATATATATATATATATACATATATATATATGTGTGCATATATATATATATATATATATATATATATATATCATACATATATATATATATATCACGGACATTCATATATAATCTGCTCCCAGCATCAAGGTCATTATAGTGGCATTCTGTGTCATATGACATATCTAGTCAATTCAGGTAGTTGCTTGGCGATCAACCTGTCTTGCAATTATGGCTATGTTGTCGCGGTCGCCGATTACCCACCTTTAGAAAACCGACCTTGACCTTCATAACTCCTGATCTCGCAGATCTAGGGTCAAGCAACATGCGAAAACCGGACGGCTAGTCCATATCGTTGATGTCAAACCATACCGGTACGCATCTGACTATGTCTGAGCCATTCTAATATATATATATATATATATATATATATGTATGTATATATATATAATTCTGTCGCGTTATCACGGACATTCATGGGTCTCTCGCTCCCAGCATCAAGGTCATTATGGTGGCATTCTGTGTCATGACATATCTAGTCAATTCAGGTAGTTGCTTGGCGATCAACCCGTCTTGCACCATGGCTATGTTGTCGCGGTCGCCGATTACCCACTCCTTAGAAAACCGACCTTGACCTTCCAACTCCCGATCTCGCAGATCTGGGTCAAGCAACATGCGAGAAACCGGACGGCTAGTCCAATATCGTTGATGTCAAACCATACCTAGTACGCATCTGACTATGCTGAGCCATTCTAAACATCGGAAACCATAGACAGTAATTTATTATCTACGGTCTTCTACTCCCTCTAGCCAGGGAGCACTTGAACAACTCTTTCAAAATATTCTTAGCCACTTTCCAAAGTGTAGTACGCTGCCTTTGTGAACTTCCGGTGCTTTTGTCGAGAGTGTTACTCTTCGGCGCGATCCCGTCTCCACGGTCGATCCGCCCTGGAAGGTGTAACACCTCTCTCTGACCTGCTGGTCGGCGCGATCCCGTTTCCGCGGTTGATCCGCCCTGTGGAGTTGTATTACTGTGCTGCCTTGGCCCTGTTTAGGGACACCGTCTTCGCCTGGTGATTCACTTTGGCGCGATCCCGTTCCCGCGGTCGATCCGCCCTGTGAAGTCGCATCACTGGTCTGCCTTGGCCCTGTTTAGGGACACCGTCTTCGCCTGGTGATACACTTTGGCGCGATCCCGTTTCCGCGGTCGATCCGCCCTGTGAAGTAGCATCACTTTTCTGCCTTGGCCCTGTTTAGGGACTCCGTCTTCGCTGTTCGGCCGAACCAACTACGTTCGCCGACCAATCCTAAACTACCGGGCCAGACCAGCTACAGACCAGCTACGTTCACCTACCAAACCTAAACTACCGGGCCAGACCTGCTACAGACCAACTACGTTCACCTACCAAACCTAAACTACCGGACCTGACCACCTATATTCGACCAAACCAGCTACGTTTGCCTACCAGGCCAGACCAACTATATTCGACCGAACCAGCTACGTTCGCCTACCAATCTTAGACTACCGGACCAGACCAGCTACAATCGACCGAACCAGCTACGTTCGTCGATTAACCAGTTTTCGGACCACACCGATGTAAACGTGTGAATAAAAACGACACTTTTTTTCATAACAAAAACCTTTGCCTTTGTCCCGTCATTGTCTTGGCTGTTCACATTTATCGTACATATAAAAACCTTGCGGGGGCGACATCCTACTCGGCCCCGCAACAAGTGGTGACTTCCCGACGTAAGACAGCTAAGTGATGATGGAGTCGGCTAAAAGTGATTCTTTGGACATGACGGCTGCGATCATACCTCTGCCTGCATACCACCATAATGCCAAGAATTGGTTCTTGCAGGTGGAATCCATCTTTTCAATGCTACGCATTACTTCACAGTGAGCCAGATTCGCGAATGTAATGCAGAAACTCCCATCCGATATGATGGACGAAATTTCTGACGTCCTCTCCGATTTGCGCGAGCATGAACCGTACGATCACTTAAAGGAAGCAATCCTCAAGCGAACCGGACGTTCCGAGGAGGATATGATTCAGGAGATACTGCGGAACGTCACTAGAGGCGACAAAACGCCATCCCAGCTTCTCAGATATATGAGGAACCAGCTGGGAAAGCACAACGTATCAGAGAAGGTTCTTCGAGGTTTATGGCTGGAGCATTTGCCTAAATCTGTCGCACAAATCATCGCACCAATGACGAGAGCCACGCCTCTGGATGATTTGGCAGAATCTGCTGATCTTGTTTTTGCACAGTTCGACCACAGCGTTAACGCTGTTCGCGCCCCGACATAGCGAAGCACGAACGCTACGAGCCTAGTAAAACGGAACGGGCGTTGGCCGACCTTCAACGGCAAATTCAGGGAGCTCCAGATCTCCCTGCGCCCGCGGACGAGGACATCGACCCCATCTCGACGGAGACGAACCCCAGCCGAGAACGGCGAAGCGACCAGGTGTTTGTTGGTTTCATCGCACATTCGGCGATGGGGCCAGGAATTGTAAACCTCCCTGTACACACCCGTCGGCCCGGGGAAACGAATAAACCGGGAGAGTCGCGACGACTAACTCTTCCGGTGCCAACACGCAATGTCGTCTATTTTACGTTTGGGATCGACGGAACAAGTTGAAATTCCTGGTGGACACAGGTGCGGCCATCAGCGTGGTACCCCCTTCAGAACGACCACACCGCTAAGCCCACCCTGATCAAACTACGAGCAGCGAATGGTTCCGCGATAGACACATACGGAGAAAGGACCCTTACTCTGAATATCGGCATGCGACGCGATTTCACTGGACATTTACCGTGGCCAACGTGAAGGTACCCATCCTCGGCGCGGATTTCCTGGCGCATTACGCACTGGCGGTCCATATGAACCCTAGGACTCTGTCCGATACGACGACGAATCTCCGTGTCTTAGGTACCCCTACACGTCAAGGCTCCACAGGAATCAGCGTCGCAACATGCCATGGTCGCGAGTACTTAGATCTCCTGACGCAGTTCACGGATATAACGCTGCCACTCCAAGTAACGGCTTCAGGTGACCATCAGACTCAGCACCACATCAGAACCCGAGGTCCTCCGCACACTCCCATCCGCGACGACTCGCTCCGCACAAACTGGCGTACGCCAAGGAGCAATTCGACAAAATGCTCAGTGATGGCATCATTCGTCCTTCCGATAGCCCTTATGCCTCGCCACTACACTTAGTGCCTAAACCTGGTGGTGAAGAATTTCGGATATGCGTCGACTACCGGAAATTGAATGCATCGACCGTACCAGACCGATATCCTGTCCCTCATATCCATGATTTTGCATCCGGATTGATGGGGGCTCGCATCTTCTCGAAAATCGACCTGACAAAGGCATACCACCAGATCCCCGTCGCTGCGGAAGACGTCCCAAAACGGCAGTCACAACACCGTTTGGCCTATACGAATTTCTAAAATGCCGTTCGGTCTACGTAACGCTGCCCAGACCTTCCAACGGCTCATAGACGAAGTCCTGCGCGGACTTCCGCATGTATACGCCTATATCGACGACATTTTGGTGGCCAGTACAGACGCCGATTCTCACAGACAACACCTGCGAGAAGTCTTCCAGCGACTCTCGCACTACGGCCTGAAGTTGAACCTGGACAAGTGCGTTTTCAGGGCGCCCAGCGTTGACTTTCTCGGGCACCGCACTGACGCAGACGGCATAGCACCTCTGCCAGACAAGATCAGCTCGATCCGGGACTTTCCTACACCGACGTCCATGAAGCAATTGCGACGTTTCCTCGGTATGCTCAATTTTATCGTCGGTTCATAACAAATTGCGCTACCATCCTCCAGCCACTGACGAACCTGCTGCAGAGAAGAAACAAGGACATCTCATTGGAGGGAGATGCTCTGCACGCATTCCATACAGCGAAGGCTGCATTGGCGAATTATACCAGGCTCTCGCATATCAACGACGATCCAGAGACACGACTATTCCTGACAACCGACGCATCGGACGCTGGTGTGGGCGCGGTGGTTGAGCAAGAGTTCAACTCACAACGCGAACCCATCGCATTCTTTTCAGCCAAGCTTTCGCCAGCCCAGCGAAAATATAGCACCTTCTCCCGAGAGCTGCTGGCCATTTATCTGGCCGTCAGGCATTTCAGGCATTTACTGGAAGGTCGAGATTTTACCATCTATACCGACCATAAACCGTTGACAACCGCGATGAGTAACAACTCTGACAAGTATACAGCTCGCGAGATCCGGCATCTCGACTACCTGTCACAGTTCTCGACCGATATTCGTCACATAAAGGGAAGGACAACGCCGTCGCAGACACATTATCGCGAGCGGAAATTCAATCTCTTCAGACCGACGTCTTGGGTCAAGATTCCATAGCCGCTGAACAAAAATCCGACCCCACGCTGCAGGACGTCCTTTCAAATACTTCTTTAAAGCTTCGGGAGTTCCCTGCATCCTTCAGCGACGACACCCTGTACTGTGACACCAGCCTACCAAGCCCTAGGCCATACATCCCACCGACACTTCGGAGACAGATATTCCAACATTTCCACGGGCTGTCTCATCCAAGTAAGCGAGCTACGGTCAAACTTATTACCGACCGATTCGTTTGGCCCAATATGAATGCGGACATTCGAGAATGGGTTTCCACGTGCATGGAGTGCCAGAAGTGTAAGGTCCACCGACACACTAAATCCCCTGTCGGCACCTTCAGCAGTCCCGATGCACGGTTCTCACACATACATGTCGACTTAGTGGGACCGCTTCCGATGTGTCAAGATTACCAGTATCTTTTGACGGTTGTGGATCGTTTTTCGCGATGGCCGACCGCCATACCTATAAAAGACACTTCAGCTAACACAGTCTCTAGGATCATCCTGAAAGAGTGGATTGGAACTTTCGACACGCCCCAAGTCATCACGACCGACAGGGGGGTCACAGTTCCAGTCGTCCCTTTTCGGGAGTTTACCAATCTACTTGGCGCCAAGCATAAAAGACTACCGCTTATCATCCGTGCGCCAACGGCTTAGTTGAGAGGTTTCATCGGTCCCTTAAAACCTCCCCTGGCCACTAGACCTGACACTATCAATTGGGTGGACGACCTACCTTTAATTCTCCTAGCATTGAGGAACACCGTAAAGGAGGACTTAGGTTGTTCACCCGCCGAACTGGTTTTCCGGTACACCTCTTGCGCTACCCGGCGAATACTTCGACGACTCCCTTCAGACGTTTTCAAACCAACATCTCCTTTCGTCGAGGAACTCCGCCACAAAATGGCTCGGCAAATATGCAACTCCGCGACAGCAACCGGTGAATCGTACATCCCTCAACACTTGCGAGATTGCAAATTCGTCTTCGTACGGAACGACGCCGTGAGACGACCACTCACGCCGGCATACCAAGGTCCTTTTCAGGTTCTTCGACGCACCGACAAGCACCTTACGATCAAGCGCGCCAACTCGACCGACACCATCGCAATCGATCGGACCAAGCCTGCTTTTCTGGAGAAGCGACAGTATGACGCAAACCCGGCTCTGCGGCCCCTAATGCTATTCCAGCGCACCCATCAGACGCAGCAGACGCAGCACCGCAGACATCAAACGACACCCCAGCGACTCCTGTGCGGCAGACCCGATCCGGTAGGAGGGTCACTTTCCTAAAGACCTTCGTAAATATTATTATTATTAATTGATATGATCAATTTTCTGGGGAAGGGCCTTGTCGCGGTCGCCGATTACCCGCTCCTTAGAAAACCGACCTTGACCTTCATAACTCCCGATCTCGCAGATCTAGGTCAAGCAACATGCGAGAAACCGGACGGCTAGTCCAATATCGTTGATGTCAAACCATACCTAGTACGCATCTGACTATGCTGAGCCATTCTAAACATCGGAAACCATAGACAGTAATTTATTATCTACGGTCTTCTACTCCCTCTAGCCAGGGAGCACTTGAACAACTCTTTCAAAATATTCTTAGCCACTTTCCAAAGTGTAGTACGCTGCCTTTTCTTTCTGAACTTCCGGTGCTTTTTTTCGAGGGTGTTACTCTTCGGCGCGATCCCGTCTCCACGGTCGATCCGCCCTGGAAGGTGTAACACCGAACTGCCAGAGGAGATTTTGCTGGTGAAGCGGACTCTCTGACCTGCCTCGCCTGGTGATACACTCTGGCGCGATCCCGTTTCGCGGTTGATCCGCCCTGTGGAGTTGTATTACTGTGCTGCCTTGGCCCTGTTTAGGGACACCGTCTTCGCCTGGTGATTCACTTTGGCGCGATCCCGTTCCCGCGGTCGATCCGCCCTGTGAAGTCGCATCACTGGTCTGCCTTGGCCCCGTTTAGGGACTAGAATGGCTGTCTTCGCTGTTCAGCCGAACCAACTACGTTCGCCGACCAATCCTAAACTACCGGGCCAGACCAGCTACAGACCAGCTACGTTCACCTACCAAACCTAAACTACCGGGCCAGACCTGCTACAGACCAGCTACGTTCACCTACCAAACCTAAACTACCGGACCTGACCACCTATATTCGACCAAACCAGCTACGTTTGCCTACCAGGCCAGACCAACTATATTCGACCGAACCAGCAAGTCGCCCGTTCGCCCCCTACCAATTTTAGACTACCTGGACCAGACCAGCTACAATCGACCGAACCAGCTACGTTCGTCGATTAACCAGTTTTCGGACCACACCGATGTAAACGTGTGAATAAAAACGACACTTTTTATCATAACAAAAACCTTTGCCTTTGTCCCGTCATTGTCTTGGCTGTTCACATTTATCGTACATATAAAAACCTTGCGGGGGCGACATCCTACTCGGCCCCGCAACAATGTGTCCTGTGCAAAAGATCATTCTAGAGTTCTTTGTTTTGCTCTCCAGAAGTGTCGTGCAAAGCGCGTTCTCTGTTCGCGTCAGATTGTAGACATATTAGGGATAGGTTTATAGTACTGTGATTTAACTGGGCGTTGTCTCCAAGAGATGCTGAGTACGTTTCTTACCATCCGAGTGTCGGTTCCATCAAGCTTAGACTTTAGGATTTTAGTTAATGTCCAAGTAGTGTCACCATGCATTAAAACCGCCTCTACAGAGAGATTATTTGGTAGATTTTCAGATTACATTCATTTTATTCAATGCGGCGCAGGCTTTAGCTATGCGAATTTGCACATCTTTTTCAGTAGAATTTATCTCGTTTCTTAGATATGGAAAAGAGTCGACAGATTTTATTGGTTCACTTGAGACAGTTTGCTGGTTGAAGCCTATGAATACAGTTTTACAAGCATTGAGTTCGACATCGTTGACAGTATTTTCTTGATGATGTAGGAGACCTGTAGCATCAGTAATGATGTCTGCAGTGATAGGTTATCTGAATAGTCAATATCTGTCAACGTTTTTGCAGGATATCGACTTGAGAGCCTTGGTGATAAGTGTCAGTTATGTCTGAACATGAGCCATTCTAATGTTCGTATGTTTGCTTTCATTTCTGGGGAAAATAAAGAAAAAAATTGTCCAACATTTGGATATTTTTTTAATTAAGTCGTTCCTAAGCTTTCGGCTCACATAAGCCATCCTTGAAATGTAATTTTGTTGAGTAAAGATTGCTTCGTTTTAATTTAGATAGCCTTCAATATATATATATATATATATATATATATATATATATATATATATATATATGTGAGATAGACATCATCACGCTGAAGGATTTAGCTTTCTTTACTGGTTCACAGGTGATAATTGGGTTTTTATTCTCGCTTTTCAGTTTCCAAAACAAAAATATAGAGCACAACTATGAACTTTCCCCAGCGTCTAGTCTGTTTAAAATTTCCATTTTTTGTGATAACTACAAAGTTATTCTTTTCCTCTTATTCCCATCATCTTTTGCCCAAATACAAGCCATTAGCAAGGCAATAATTATCCAGTAAATTTCCCGGAAAATTTATCTCGTTTCTTAATTCAAATCGAGTTACATATCACCCAAATAGTTCAAATATACACATCAAAATCATGTCCGGATATGCGGGATTCCGGATATGAGGTACTCCGGATATGAGGGATTCCGAAATGAAGGATTCCGGATATGAGGGCTTATTCTCTATTTGTGGCGGAAGACGTCAAAAGCTTTTTTTTTGCGATAAATCCAAAGTTGTTCTTTTCTTCTTATTTCCATCATTTTTTGCACCAAAACAAACCATTAGGGTGAAATAAGCATATACAATTATCCAAAGTAAATTTCCTGAATAACAGAAATTTTAAATCAGTTACATATCACCCAAATAGTTCAAATATATACATCAAAATCATGTCTGGATATGCGGGATTCCGGATATGAGTCACTCCGGATATGCGGGATTCCGGATATGCGGGATTCCGATATGCACCAAAACAAACCATTAGATTCGGATATAAGGCAAAGCACATCAAAATCATGATATGAGGGATTTTGCTGTTTTTTGCGGATTCGGATATTTTTTTTTTTTTGGGTTTTTTTGCCTTTTACTAGAAAACTATTGTTGATATCAGACTAACGCATTTTACTTTTTTTGCTAATTCATTATTTCCATTATCTTATACTATTTTTTAATTATTATTGTTTTATCGTTTTGCTTTTTTCTCCTACATTTAGTCTTATTTATTTATTTGCTTTATTTATTTGCCCTGTTTATTTACATATTTATATATTTCTTTTTCATTATATCTTATTTTATATTATTTTGTTTTCAGTGATATGTATTATTTTTATTAATACAGTGTAACCCGGATATAAGAGAGATTTTATCTGGTCCCAAATTAGAGCCTGTGTTAATGTATATAAAATAGACCAAACCCGGATATAAGAGAAACCCGGATATAAGAGAAACCCGGATATAAGAGACTTCTTCTCGGGTCCCGACAAATCTCTTATATCCGGGTTACACTGTACATTAATTTTATCACGGCGTACTTTATTATTACTAATATCACTACATTTAGTTTATTAATATTATTATTATTAATATCCTTAACCCTAGAACACTAAACATTATTTAAAGTTACACCACTACTAACCATGGGTATATCATACCCGATTTTGAAAATATCAACAAAAAAAAAATTAAATATAAATCTTTATTTGAAATATTTTACATACAGCCACTTCAAACTTTGTACTTTAAGTTAACATTAATAGGAACTGAAAAACATATTATTTAGGTAAGAAAATCAGGTACTGAAAATTGTAATTAAAAATAGGAAAATTTGCGCTGGGTACTATATACCCATGGTTAGTGTTCTAGGGTTAATTACTTTGTTGGTTTTAATGGAAAACTACACTTGCACCCCCCCCTTGATTTTCAAACTTTTTTTTTCTTTCGTTTACTACACCGTCTCTTCAAACTAGAATTTTAAATTCTTATTTTCAACCTTATTTTCAATCTTAAATGCTAATCTGGGCTAAATTCAAATAAAAAATTAAACTACAATTCATTTCGATATTTTAACAACTATAATAATCAAGCCTCTACAATAAAATACCTCGCGATAAGCAAAAATATTATAGAAGCGTCATTAACTCCAAAAATTGCACCTGAAAAATACAGAACGTATAAAACTCCTTGTTGTGCAATCAATGTAAGATATTATATATATATATATATATATATATATATATATATATATATATATATATATATATATATCCAAGTATAGGATTGGTGTATACGGAATAAATTCCAATAACTAACAAACTCTATTAAAAGAGTGCTCAATACAGAGTAGAGCAACTATAATTATTTATTCGAAAATTATAACATAAAAATGTTATAAAATCACTACAAAAATAGCCGTTTTGTTTCAACACTTCTGGTGTCTTATCAAGTGGCTAGTGTGTCTTCAACATGTGCAGTAGTGATTTACCTGAGAATTGTTCCGTTTAACAATGCCAAGATATTCATATCGTGATCAGGCAGATATGATTTTTACATACAGTCGTGAAAATGGTAATGGACACCAGGCTGCACGGCCGTATCAGACTGTGTTTCTAGACCTAAGGCAGTCGAGTCATCCAACCTTTGCTGCTGTTTATCATCGCGTTGCTGAGACAAGATCCGTGGTCCCACTATGGATTGAGGAAGATCAAGCTCCGCTTGTACGCCTGACCACGAAGAACATATTTTACAGGCTGTCGGGGACGATCCAGTTACCAGCACGCGTCAAGTGGCCCTAGTATGTCGATCCAACATGTCGTACATCTCATAGTACCACATGGAGGGTACTTCAAGAGCAGCTCCTGTAGCCGTATCATTTGCAACGTGTGCAGGGTCTATCGTCCTCTGATCATTCGCCACGGGAAAACTTTTGCCGATAGTTTATTGCACAAACTATCAATCCGTTGTTCATCTCTACAGTCTTGTTTACGGATAAGGCAACATTTGGAAGAGATGGAATAACAAATTTACGCAACCAACATTTGTAGGTGGATCGGAATCCTCATGGTACAATACACGCGAGACACCAGCATCAGTTTACGATAAATGCGTGAGCTGGAATTATAGGTGAATGACTGGTAGATCCAAATGTTCGTCCAGGACGTCTTACAGGAGCTGTCTACAGGGACTTTATTTCGAACACACTCTCAGACTTGTTACAGGATGTATCCCTGCTAATACAAAGACACGTGTGG